TTTCCGGTAAAGTCACGTAGAAATAAGAAATAATAATACAATTACATAATAGCATACGACGTTTCGATTGCAATGCAAGCAATCATCAGGCACAGAAGAGCTAAATTTAAGAGAGGAAACACAGAACCGCAGATATATACAGACACCTAAGTAGAGGGAGTTAACACAGTGACACAAAGAGAGACACACGTATGGAGCACAGAGAGATAGGGTCTCTGTGCCGAGGCCTTAGCATGTAGGGGAGACAAAGAGAGATGGAGAAGCACATCAAATCGAACACGATTTAGTAAAATTTGGAAACAATATAATGCAACACAGAGGGTCGGTCAAAACACAATTAACGCATGGTCTGGTTGATTACGTTATTTGAAAGATTGCTAAATTATAAGTTAAGTGTGAAAATTTGAGAGAGAGATAAGAACCTATATACGGAGACACAAAAACAGACATAAGTAGAGAGAGAAGAAGCAGAGACAGAGAGGAATGTAATACAATACAGCGTAGATAGCAGGCCAACATAACAGTCAACACTCTACCTGGCTGATTACGTTCCTCTAAGGATTGCTAAATTTAAGAGAGTGATAGAGTACAGATCGCCGACACATATATAGACATCTAAGCAGAGAGAGTTAGCACAGAGACATACAGAGAGAGACACACATATGGGACACAGTGAAACAGTGTCCCTGTGCCGAAGCCTTAAAGAGAGGGGGTGGGGGGGCGGAGACTGAGAGATAAAGGGATACAAATTAGCAGGGACTAACTTGGAGCAAGAGGAGGCACACCACACACATGTGCATGTGCTGCGGGGAAAGGTTTAATTCTGCAGTGAAATTACCCAATATGCAAAGAATGTCCAAAGGCAATGCATCCTACTACAGTGAGGGAAAAAATAATTTGATCCCCTGCTGATTTTGTACGTTTGCCCACTGACAAAGAAATGATCAGTCCATAATTTTAATGGTAGGTTTATTTGAACAGTGAGAGACAGAATAACAACAACAAAATCCAGAAAAACGCATGTCAAAAATTTTATAAATTGATTTGCATTTTAATGAGGGAAATAAGTATTTGACCCCCTCTCAATCAGAAAGATTTCTGGCTCCCAGGTGTCTTTTATACAGGTAACGAGCTGAGATTAGGAGCACACTCTTAAAGGGAGTGCTCATAATTTCAGCTTGTTACCTATATAAAAGACACCTGTCCACAGAAGCAATAAATCAATCAGATTCCAAACTCTCCACCATGGCCAAGACCAAAGAGCTCTCCAAGGATGTCAGGGACAAGATTGTAGATCTACACAAGGCTAGAATGGGCTACAAGACCATTGCCAAGCAGCTTGGTGAGAAGGTAACAACAGTTTGTGCGATTATTCGCAAATGGAAGAAACACAAAAGAATTGTCAATCTCCCTCGGCCTGGGGCTCCATGCAAGATCTCACCTCGTGGAGTTGCAATGATCATGAGAACGGTGAGGAATCATCCCAGAACTACACGGGACGATCTTGTCAATGATATCAAGACAGCTGGGATCATAGTCACCAAGAAAAACAATTGATAACACTACGCCGTAAAGGACTGAAATCCTGCAGCGCCCGCAAGGTCCCCCTGCTCAGGAAAGCACATATACATGCCCGTCTGAAGTATGCCAATGAACACCTGAATGATTCAGAGGACAACTGGGTGAAAGCGTTGTGGTCAGATGAGGCCAAAATGGAGCTCTTTGGCATCAACTCAACTCACCGTATTTGGAGGAGGAGGAATGCTGCCTATGACCCCAAGAACACCATCCCCACCGTCAAACATGGAGGTGGAAACATTATGCTTTAGGGGTGTTTTTCTGCTAAGGGGACAGGACAACTTCACCGCATCAAAGGGACGATGGACGGGGCCATGTACCGTCAAATCTTTGGTGAGAACCTCCTTCCCTCAGCCAGGGCATTGAAAATGGGTCGTGGATGGGTATTCCAGCATGACAATGACCCAAAACACACGGCCAAGGTAACAAAGGAGTGGCTCAAGAAGAAGAACATTAAGGTCCTGGAGTGGCTAGCCAGTCTCCAGACCTTAATCCCATAGAAAATCTGTGGAGGGAGCTGAAGGTTCGAGTTGCCAAACGTCAGCCTCGAAACTTTAATGACTTGGAGAAGATCTGCAAAGAGGAGTGGGACAAAATCCCTCCTGAGATGCGTGCAAACCTGGTGGCCAACTACAAGAAATGTCTGACTTCTGTGATTGCCAACAAGGGTTTTGCCACCAAGTACTAAGTCATGTTTTGCAGAGGGGTCAAATACTTATTTCCCTCATTAAAATGCAAATCAATTTATAACATTTTTGACATGCGTTTTTCTGGACTTTTTTGTTGTTATTCTGTCTCTCACTGTTCAAATAAACCTACCATTAAAATTTTAGACTGATCATTTCTTTGTCAGTGGGCAAACGTACAAAATCAGCAGGGGATCAAATACTTTTTTCCCTCACTGTACTTTTTGATGTAAGCACGGTTTTACAGGCTCCTGTCAATCCACTGCCGGACAAAGGCCACGCCACACACCGTATCCGTCTCAGTGGTTTCTTGACCGTACTTAAACATGCTGATCCGTTGGGGGTTGGCGATGGGCGTTGCCCAGGATATATATCACTCATCACTGATGTAAACCGTGGCCAATAATTTAACCCAAGAGGCCGTGTTCATAGCTCTATGGCGATGACCACTACTATATTACCACTCTCCCGCTGGAAATATATTTTAAATGTGCACTCTATTTTAGTTAATCCACCACCTTTAAACTAAACATGTAGGGAAAAACCTGGATGTAATGAATGCTAAAGCCATTCCTAGCAGTCTCAACTGTTGTGTGTGTGTAATTGAAACACAGTAATTAAAATAAACATGCCATAATATATACCAAAGGTAACAGAGGCAAGAGTGTGCTAACCGGGAATCAAAAATCCTACAAAGCACAACTTGGGAGTAGAGATGTGTAAACAAAAGTGACACCAAGGCCAGTTGAGTGTAACTCAATCCTGGACAGATTGCTGCCATGGTGTTTAGAGAGTCTCACTCTACTCAACATCAACATTCACAGAATCCACATAAACCGCACTGCGTACAAGGGATTCATATATCGCTTCCCCGATAAGGATGAAGTTTCGATGGGTTTGTTATGGAGGAGCAAAACTAAACGACTCCACCTTCTCGTACGGATGTTTAAACCATGCTCCGAGCCCAGCCCTTTCTTCGTGGCCAATCAAAGGCTGCATCCAATAAGCACATCGGTGCAATAAATACCAAACAGCCGGCTTGCCAAACAGCATTCACTAGGTGTGCAAGCATGCGGTTCGGTAGAGTTTCCTGAATAACACGTGTGGAAAAAGACCACATTGCAAACGAGGGCAAGCACTTGCGCAAACACACACAGTCCGCATGCTGATGCTATGAAATCCGTATTAGAGCATTGTTAGTATGCACCATGCGTTGGCTAGTTAGTACGGTTAGGGTATTGGGATTGAGCGGCGGGGTTGGTACTTACTACCCTGGTTATCTTAGGGTTGCTCTCCCCACTCGGCTTGCCTGGGAGGGGTCAAGGTTCGGGGACAACGCTCCCAGCTCTCCCCAGAGTAGGGGCTTGCAGGTTCGTTGTGCATAGCGGACAAGCGTGGACGCATAACGGAGGCTCAGTTCCACACGCAACACGTTTATCAGTCGCACATGTTGTCTGTTTCGAAATCAAATATTCTACGCGTATGTCAAGGTGCTCTTTTGCGATTGTACTGCTTATGCTCCTTGGGTTGTTAAGCTAACAACAGGAAATGGTATGCAACAAAAACGCGTTTTAAACCCGCTTACTCGCTATGAAATGTTATATAAATGTTCACGTACTGGTCATTACCTGCCAATGAACTAACGCATGCATCCCAATGAACAGCGCTACAAGTTAGGAGATGGACACTGCCCGGCATGCTCATTGTTAACGTGCGTTAATAAAAGGGTGGATGAGGGAATTAATGGAACAGCCATGTGAGTTTAATACCCACATTTTAAGTCTTTCCGTTTACCTTTTTGCAACAGGATTGTCAATGCCATGGGACTGTCTTGTCTGATAACCATTACTACCAAAATCCATACTGAAACAAAACATTGGCAAGATTCGTAAATTGTTTAAATAAATATGCAAAACTTTATTACGTGTAAAATTCTGTATTTAATGCAGACTATGCACTCAAGGCCACAGCATTCATAGGCTTAGTCGGAGCTATTTCAAGCCCAAGAGCCAATGCGTTTGGGTTAGAGGCTTTAGATTGGCAATTGCATTGGCCCCGATTTAGGGGGCAGAGGCATTGGCCTGACGACGTTACTGCTATCGGCTCCATGCTGGGAGGCCTTTTCTTTAACAAACCTGAAACTGTCGAATGTCTTAAGGGCATCAGGCATATGCCGTCTTAGAATTTAGCCTCGACAATGAAGGATAGCAGATTTGATGACATGCAGCAATTGATTGAAGATTTGTTTTTGTGGAAAGCACTTGCCAGTGGCAGATCCTTCACAGCCCTGGTTACTGTTTGCACTGGCAGGATAAATTAAGACTTCGCCATGAACGCGTGACTTTTAGTTACAAGTCTGCTGAAACAAAAAACACTTCAAAAAACATATTTTAGAAGATGAAAAAAGCCATGGAAGCTAGCATTATATTATATGGATCAAATCACAGCTGTGTTACTGTACATATTCATGTGGTGTGAAAATATTTGAATTGAATTATAAAATGGCAATCTACATTGTATGTCCAGTATAATGACTCTATAAATAATAATTTTAATAATCAATTACTGTAGTACAATGTATTAGTATTTTTCACATATTACTTGTACAAAAGAGTGGTTATACTTAATGGTAAATTATTATTTTTGATGTGTGACAATTGTAAAAATAAGTTTACAAAAATTCAACTGAAGAAGAAAACATCTTACTTGGTCATAGGTATGTGTTCATCTCTACAAAAAATAAGGCAATTAATGATTACTTTTTATCTTTTAACACTGTGAGAATGTGCATTGTTCAGTCTATACCACTGAAAAAATAAACAAGAACATAAAAACCAATGACATTAATTAATTTGTTGCAAGGGTATTTATTCCCCATCACATGGGACTCTTATAGAATCCAACATTACTTTGTTATAATCCCCCCATATTAGTACCAATTATAATAATGGGACTGCCACTCATCTCTACTGGCTCCTGTTGAGCCAGAAATGGAAATTCCACATTCAAACGACGAGAAACGGGCCATGTGATGAACACTCTTAACTTACTACGAAACTGCCACGTCAATGTCTCAACCCTGGAGGGGACGGTAGGCTGAGTCGACCCCCCAACTGACATTAGAACTCATTGCACCCTTCTCATAGTGAGTCGAGTGCTTCACTATAGCACCACTTAAACCACTTAACACAGCTCAATAGTCTCTGTATTACATAAGAAACAAATGCAGTATCTCGTATTAATTAAATACTTGTAGATTCATTTCACTAGAAAATGGCCTGAGTATTCATAGAAAAAAAACCCGACAGCATTTAAATTCGTAATGTGGTAAAACTCCAAAAGCTAAACCGTAAACAATGTGAACTTCTATGCGCTGCATGTGTATTATCACATCGCATACTGAATGGAAGAGAAGTAGAGTGGCGTTATTAGCGTGGATGATAAACTGAGAAAAGAGGCTCACAACAATTTTACATTTGCTAACAAACAAAAGTGTGCAGTTGCGATGAGAAAGGCATGCAGAATTTTACAAAAGAAAAGAAGAGGCAAATATTCCAAAGTGGAACAAACCAAAAAATAACACGACTTAAAAAGTAGGAATGGTTATCAGAAGGTAAAATGCCAGATCCCCGAGACTGATGAACTGCAAAAGGCGAAAAAAGAGAGACAGGGCAGGCATGAGATCACACGACAAGTGGACAAGCAGCAGGGTTCCAGGCCAACCGCAGGGAATCAGTGTTTGTGTCTACTCCTGTGGATGGAGTTAACGTTGACATTTCCTGCCTTCAACGCTTACGGCTACTCTGTCAGCTGTGCCGTGTGTAGACCAAGCCCCTGTATTAATGCCCCTTAAAACACCTCGCCCAATCACTGATAAATTAACGTACGGTACATTGTTTAAATCTACATGGACCCCTTGATGAGACCATTTTAAGCTGATGCTTCTCGATTCTAAGAAGATTTTAGATTCACATTTAAGAGTCACCGGCAAGAGGAACAAAACCAAAACACACCGTCCACACCACAGTAATAACAAGACAGGGAAACCTCAATCGCTTTGAAAGGGTAAGTAACACGCAGTGGAAAGAATTGAAACCTAGGTAAACGTCTCATTGCCCTATGCGGGTGTTGAGGTATGTACACACATTGGTTTAATCATTATTAAGGTGAAGCCGATGACGAGATATCGGACTGTCAGTCTATTGTCCGAATACCATTTTCGTCTTTAGCTTCAAGTGTCCATTACTTAGTAAAATTACTGAGGCAACAAAAGCACAGTTAGTCACTAAGCAGCACCCATCTATACAGGATGTAAATCATTTATATAGAAGGGCAAAAGGTACATTCCACTGCATTAAGCATCTGTTGCAGCATCACTGTTCTCACAATGTATACAGTTATAAAACTACCTGGGCCACGCAGCGAGGATAAGCCACTCGCTAACATCGACAAGTGCCCGTTTTGCCTCGCTCTTAATGTGGCCGTGGTTTCACGACTTTTTTTGGTCGCGTGCGACGAGCATTTGGACGTACACGGCAAAGCAGATTTCACACGGCACTCACTCATCATACACGTCCTCGGTGTCCATGCGCCGGTAGTATTTTGCCAGCTTCACGGCAAAAATGATGCTCGGAATTAAAAACACAGTCGCCCAACCGAGGCCAAACCAAAACGCGTTCTGAAAAAAAAGAGACGAGACAAATACAGTAGCCTTTAACGGGCTGTCGGGGCAAGTGCTATTTGCGAGCCCCTATTAAGGCTGGCATGGCACACGAGGGGGGTGGGTGGCCAACACTATGCCTCGCTGGGCCACCTTTGTCTTCCCAGTGCTGATGTTTACATACCACACCAGGCATGCATTTAAGGCTGAGTTGACCAACGCGAGGCCCGGGACCGGTTCAGATAATCGTCACCGATATTGGCTGTAAGCGGGAATGGAACTTGGGTTACCGGGTTCATAGCGCAGTGCACTAACCACAGGAAATAATCTAGTTTCCTCCAAAATGTCTAATTATTTTTCATTTGGAAAATGTCCCAATGCAGGACCCTTGTGCCAAATGCTACTCTCTGGTACACAACTCAGTGGCGTCTCTCACCAGCGAGTCCATCACGTAGCTGCACGCAATGATGTCCACAGAGTCGACCAGATTCGAGACCGGTTTGCAGGTGGCCACCTTGTTGGAAATCTGCACAAAAGAGTGGAACTTAGCAGACACACAAATTGATATCCGTCCGAGTGGTCTTGCAGCTCCCCACAATCAACTAACTCACATTTGGTACAGGTGTTGCCAAAGCAATTATTTATAACACGCTTTTTTGAAACGTGTTTAAGGGCCTGAGTATTGAATGGCACCAGTTGTTGTATCGGTGGAAGAGACAAGAAAAACCAGACGCGAATTTGTGCAACATTGACCTGCGGGTAGTATTCGGGCTCAACAGCACAGGTCTGGGGCGCTGTCACCCCTGCCCAAACAGTTCGAGGAGCGGCTTCTAACAAGCGAGCGACACTGGCTAGAAAGCCACTACCTGGTCCCTCACAGGTCCGTGGAAAACTCGAGAATTCCCTGGCAAAACGGTGAAGGCGTCAACTGCAGGACATCCAATACAAATGGGCTGAACATGTACATTTACAATAGAACCTAAAGACAGCGCTGGCATGCAAACGTGGGTATCTGTGCCACACCTTTCAATGAACTTAAGTTGCAATCCAATCCACTTCGATTACACCGTACTCCAGCTTTCAATTTGAGTGGTAAACATGCAGTGTTGCACCTACTTAAAATGTTCCCAGTTTCACGGTGGATTGTGGTTAAGAATGCACGTAATAAGTCAGTAGGCTACTAAGAGGCGTGCATTGTATAAATTGTGCAGCTTTCATGTACTCACGGAAAACTTTGTCCAAGTAACGTAACTCTCAAAGTATCCTATTATAGTCTTCATGTAGGTCTTCGTTTCCTTAAAAAAAAGGCAAATATTGCAATGTGTTACAATTGCTGAAAAAGGTCGATGTACATTTTCTGCAAGGTGTTTTCCCTAAAAATGTTCGTTCGTAAAGGTCTCATTTGTTACCAAGGCATCCACGAGGCATGCAACTCAAATTACTTGGCTGTACGACACAAATCATTCTTACAAAACTGAAGCCATTGAAAGAGAAATTCCTTACTCAATGGCCCTCACCCAAAATTGACTGACTGAATTGACGAATATTTCCTAAACACATTTTCTCGAAGGAAACTTTTATTTCAACATTCTGCATTACAAATTATGTGATACACATGGCATTTTATTCCACAGTGAAGGAAAATAGACAATACAGTAACACAAACATAACAACTTACCCCAATGATAACCTGTGAGGCATTGTTATTGATGAGACTCTGGGCAGTGTCCAATTTGTCAATGACTTCGGTAATCTCACTCTAGAATTCACACACACACAAAACATTTAACACATTTTTGTCTCTTTTGCAAGTGCGTTAAGTGCACGTGTGGATAAGCATGTCACAAGCACGCGTGTGTCCACGTGGGTCCCGCACACACGTGTGATGTTTATTATTAAATGTAAAGTGACGTTGGTACGCAAATTCCAATCAACAATAACCATCAACAGACATTATTTCATGATCTGGATCAATTTGTGTCCGTGATCAAACTCAAGTAAAATATTCTACGTGAATTAGTCTCATTTCACTGGAGTAGCTATTCAGTGTGAATGTGATCACAAGTCCCAACCTGCAGAGCAAGGGATGTCCTCTGAAGAGAGTTCAAACTCTTGTTCAAAGTACTCTAAAAACAACAACAGAAATGTTAAGCGCTCATTTCGGAATTAGTCAACAACAATCAATTAAATATATATTTTATTATGTACAACACCATGTTAAAGGGTACATCAACAGCACGAGTATGAACGTTACTGCTAAAGTTTTCTGCCATACGGCTCTCCGGTGTGCGTTCGGGCTGCGCCACATAATATTTTTTCGAAGACCGACGGTTTTTTCCACGTGCTGGTTCATTCAGAAGCTCCCCGGCACGTGGAGGGAAACATCGAGCGCTGCGAGCCGGAAAGGCTTCGGAGAGCTACAAGTGTGAACATTCATCAACTTGCACTTCGAGTCTTCCCCTTCACAGTACAGGACACCGAACGGAAGTGATTGTGATTCAGAGAGAGAGATGGTAACATTTCCATTAAAAGACAAGGAGACGGAGTAAGGCTGATAGAAAAATAAAGGTTCTCTTACCCTTGCTCCAGTATATTTCTTATTTAGTGTATTGGATGAGAGCGCAGCATGAATGGAGAAAAGTACAAGTCAGAAAGTGGGCACTGTCATTAATTTACATTCCTTGTAAAAAAATATATAAGATAGGTGAAAAAATAATCAGAAGAAGCATTTGAAAGGGGGGGGGGGAATTAAAATGAAGGAAATATGAAGAAAAAAATGTTTATAAGAATTCATACAAAAGTGAAAATTGACGAATGTTTAAATAAACACAAAAAATAGAAAATATAAACCAAATACACACAGAACAAAAAATACACCGATACAAACTGCGACTGGAAGGTATACACAACACGCGGCTGCCCTTACCCAGACTGGAAACTGTACAGGTCAAGATAACCTCAGCCACAGGCCAAATACGCTGTGATGGAGGCAAAACACCCAATTGTATTTGTAGGAAATATTAACAACACTGTCATCTGCAAGATAACCCCAGTTTTGGGCAAGGGAAGCCCCACGATTGTACCCAGTAGACCACCACCAATCACTTTAAATATAAACATCAAAGCACTTACTCTTTAAATATTTACCTTGGAGTCACAGTGTCAAATCGGAACACACGCTCATGTTCAAAACACAACAATAAGAAACATCTTTAAACATTAAACTGTTATCATTAATAAGCAAACAATTCACGCCTACATTTTTAAATGTCAACGACTGTGGAGGCTTATTACTGGCGACGGAGGTTTCGATTATACACGGGTGTTTGCACCGTGGCAGCGAACCCAGCCTGGCACAAGCACTGTGGTGACAATCACCGCCACTTGGTGGCGAATGGCGGCTGTTGTATCAGACGAGGGGAACACTCCATATCCCACGCGTAGTGCTGATGCTGCAACGTGTTAAATTTGTAGCAATGGAGGTGTTGTTGAAGAGTGGGGAACCACCACCTCCATCAGGTCACACAAGTGTGGCCTGAGTGAGGTGTGCCCGATGATTGGGCCCTCACGACGGGATTATCGGTACCTGACTGTGGATCCACACTCTGGTTAGTCGTGGGTTCAGCAGCAATATGTACAGCGCACATTATTACAATTCATATTTCATGATCGACGAGGTTGTTGTTGTTGTTAGACCGTATTTTGTGCAACACAAATATTTATACAGGAGAAACTGGATACAAGCACACTTTATATAAGCACAGTTCCGGTATAAGAAATATCGAACATTACACTGGTGGAGGGAGTTCAAGGGCAACTTCTGATACAAGCACACTTCAGATATGAGCAAACCTTGCTCTGCTCCCAAGAGGTGTGCTTATTTAATCATTATTTAATAACAAAATGCCTTCCATCTGATCTCGAACATTAGAAGGGGAACCCCTCCGTAGCAGCTGTCCCTCTATGGCAAAAAGGGACTCAGAACCAGCCTACAAAGTCGGAATTAGTCTGCTAATAGGGGTGGTAATTTCTATGTGTAATTCCAATTGAGTAATTTGTGATCCTTTTTTAAAATTTGGCAAATTTAGACGATGACAGCAGCACACAATGTATGGCCCACTCTTTTCAAAAAACGTCACGGGATCTTTAACGTCCACTGTGAAGCAGGCAGCGTGTACCTTACGATGTATACACACCCGCAGGACGAACCAGGGCCTGTCGGATTCGGACCGCGAACCTCCTGAACAGGCGGCTTAACGCTGGAAACACTGGGCTGTCATCATTCCATATCCAGTTTCTGCTGTACATAGAACCCAGCCACCGCTACGGTGTGTAACGCTGCTAGTGTACATGTGGTGGTATACGATGCGGGAAATAGTGAGGTGCACAGCCCATTGATTGGAAAGGCATACAACCCAGGCCATATTACGGTGTGTAAGCCAGCCATAAGTAAAGCACAAACCATTGGTAAGGTGTACACACCCGAATAGCATGGTTGCATATGTACGGTGAGAATTAAGTTCAACATGCATACATACAAAGTGCACAACCCAAGCCACTGCGATGAAGTGTACAATGCTGAACATTAGTGGAGCAAAGGGCCTAAGGCAGGGAACCAGCAGGGCACAGTGCTCACCATGCTGCTGTTGAGAAGCACCACTTGGTTATAGTGAATCCAGCGGATGCTCGCCGCATGTCCCCGCAGCGCGTTAGCCAGTGCCCCGCTCTGTGGCCACAAACAGTCGCACGCAAACGTAAATCATCGTGAATCAAACGTAAATAATCGTGAATCAAACGTAAATAATCGTGAATCAAACGTAAATCATCGTGCACAACCGAACAGGGTCGACCAAACAAGTGCCCCACGTTCGTTACAAATAAACCCAGCTCTCTTAAAGCAAACTCTTGATTTTTCCCAGAACTCCACCCCCACCAAGGAGGTCAACACATTAATGAAATTAAGAAAACGCAACTTTAATCATTCGTGCTATTTAGGCTCACTTTAAATAGATACATTAAGAGTCTTACCAGAATGGCCACATTTATGTACATAAAAGCATTTAAATAGGTTTTACACTGCAGCACTGTGAATGTTTTTAAAAAAACATAACATGTTAGCTATGATTAAACGCCCGTGAATGAGAGTTCATAGGCGTCTGCACACTTTAGTTTGGCTCATTCCACACTTCAGCTGGGAAAACCTGAATGAAACCACATGCAGATTTTTCAAAGCATTGAAATAGAAATATATTTGAGAAAATGAAAGCGTACAAGCTTGACAAAACTCACCAGGTTGTTAGCTTTTTCACTGAGTTCATCGGCAAATAGAAGCAGATCAACCTTGGTAATGCCTTTGTTGAGCTGTAAGGAATAAAAAACACAAACTTTAACGTGCAATGTTCTACACCAGGGGGCACTACATGCACAGCAGATAAAACCCACCCAACTATTTCAGCACAATATTCCCTACTAGACATTATGCAACAATTGAATGTACATATCACGATGTTTAAATGATGCAGTGATTCAAGGAGGTTTGGAAACGCGTGCTTTAGCCAAGCGCTATTGCTCAACTTGGCAGTGCAAATGTCCAGTCATGGACCATGGCTCCCACCAACCAGGGCTGTGGTATTTTCCACGCGCTACAAAAGACATTTATTGTAAATACCTCCTTACCACCCCAGTGAGTTATTTCAAATAAAAAAAAGACATTTAATTAACAAAGTGCAGACATCGCCCATTTATATTTCTGATTGTAATTTACGAAACAAAAAAAATTTCCACGGTGCAATTTCCACATTGTGTTTTGTCCTTCTCAACGAATACATCGTGCGGTGAAACTGCAGGGTGGGTTCGAGGAACTACCCCTTCGTTTGGGTCCCTGTTGTTCACATCCAGATGAGCCGAGACTACGAGCGAGGGCCTCACGCTGATACTTTGTTACGACCAGCATCATATCGTCTTAATTGCCGCAACTTAGCAACCACGATTCTCCTCCCGCAGTGTTCACGACCATGAGAAGCATGGTCGTGAACGACCCCTTGCCGTGGGATATTTAAAATGTTTCATTGCGGAGAGCGGCTATAATTCCACTCCACGTCCCCCACCCCCCGAATCCTTTCAAAGCAACGATGCAAAAACAAAAACGGATGAGCACGTGTAATTGTAATTTTCCAAGAATGGAAGGCTACGGTTAAAAAAAAACTGCATTATGTGTACACAAACAGCTACATCATTACACAGCTTTACCCAGTAAAATATGAAGGGTTTTTTAATATCTAATAACATGCCACCTTGCACTGATAAATGCTTCTCATGTATCGCAGGCTGTTAATCATCAGCGTGACATCAGGTTACGATGACCCCTACTTGCGGTGCATGTGGCAGCTTTGTGTTTCACAAGCAGATGGTGCGGTGCTTAATTATGGACCACTACACATCACCAAGGTGACCAGAGTGGTGGAAAGTCAGACTTGTGTACCATGGACTGTACTATGAGTCTAAGGTACACAGGTAGGACCCTTGCTCAGAGCAAGATGAACTGTGACACTGCAAAAACATGAGGGACGACCACGATGTGGAGAGGATTTCATCCAGCAGTGGATGATGTTGATGATGAAAGCTAGAAATGTAATAATAGGTGTGTTCATGGATTACAATAAAACACTGACATTAGTTATCGTCCTCATATTAGCTTATTTTGTCTTCTTTAGGTTCCGAACATGGCTAGTTTCTTCTTCTTAGATCAAGCAGGAACTTTGCTTTTCCTTTCCTGGGCTCTCCGGGACAAGCTACCCAGGCGAGAGGGGCGAGGATTGGGCCTTTCGGGCAAAAACTTTTACAAAGGTCTGTTTTCATTACTGCAACTCACTTTGATAAATCCCACTGTGCTCAGCTTTTTTGATCCACCTATTTGCTTTGGCTACTTTAATGTAATGAATTAATCAGCCTACACACCGAGGTTCAAAAGTTCAGGGGCTTTTGTTTCCCACTGCAACCAATCAGCTGGCAGCAGTGGGGGTTAGTCTCTAGGCAGTGCGCGAAGAACGAAAGAGCAAACGCATTCTCGCAATTGCACTTTGCACAATTAACATTGGAGACCGCTCGCAGACAATAAAAGCTGGACTGCTACGGAGGCCGCAGACCAGTATGAGCAAGTTTCTCAAGAGATAGTCACCAACCCTCTCAGCAAGAACAGCAGAGGCACGCAATATTGAATACATGCACACACATGGATCTCTTCCCATTTAGTCCTGGAAATAGAAACAAGCACTCTTATAGTGAGCACCTATTCAGACCTAAAAGGCGCAAGAAGCGGTGATGTGGCTAGGACCTCACTTAACCAACCACCTTTGTCTCTCCAGCAATGATGTTGACATGCTGCGCCAGCCTTAAGGTAACTTATTTAAGGCTGAGTCTACCTATGGGGGGGGTTCAGAACAGTTTTGTTCTCTAGATCTTCAGAGGTCATTACTGTGAGTAGAAGTGGTGTTATGCATGACCATGAAATAGAAATTGATCATCGGGAGCGTGACACCGTAAGTGAACCCCACATGCACACACACACACACAGATGACACGGACACAGAACCTCTGCAGTGAATGCGCTGAAGTCGATTTTGTCGATTCCTGTCGTGGCAAAGTCCAACAGGCTCTGCTTGACACTGGGTTCCAGCAGCTTCATGTCCGACAGGTTCGCATTGATGGGGTCAAATTTGCTTGTGATGTCATTCGTATACTACAGTGGTTTTCGGTGGCGGTGTGGAAAAGAGACAGAACACCGGAATGAGGCGGTTTATTTGATTCGCACAACATTTCAAAAGAAGCCTTTATAATAGTAATACAACGGTGAGCGTGCAATCGTGTTTCCGATCACGAGGAAAAGATAACATGGCGTATTCTCACATAAATAATTCAACTGCACATAAATAATATAAACTGATTCGTACAAGGACTCCAAATCACAGTGTAATATAATTGTGCTGCTATATAACATGCGATATATGTTGGTGCATTTTCGTGAGTATGTACTTACCTGAGTCATGTTCAGGAGGCTGTCCAAGTTGAATAGATTTGAGAGTTGAAACGCAGAATAAATCCCTTTGTTCATTTTGCAATCACTGCAAAAACACACAGGCCCTAGTGATTCTAGACACTCGTATTCCTATTAAGCCAGCCTCAGAGAAGGCAGGTTCCCGATAAAACTCTGTCAGTACCTCCAAAACACTTCACAAGGTGCATTTGCACTCTCCTGTAGCCCTCTCTTGGCTAGCAGACCTCGACATTGATATTCAGCTCTCAAACGTATTTTCATCGGCAAGACTATTGAATTTGGAATCATAAATCGTGTAAATGGAACTGTTTTATCTACTCGCATGACATACACCAGGATAAAAAAAAACGCACACAACTTGTGTACCGCAATGAATCAATTCACACGGAACCATTCCAACTGCAGTGGTTCTGTATGTATGTGGAACTTATTTCGCACCGTACGTAGCCTACCGTGCTAATCGGCACAAGAGGTGCATATCTGCCAGCGGTATCCACCGTTTACAGCCAACGCGCTCACACTAAGCGACTCCATCAAATCAATAATTGAATACATTTAACACATTTTTATTCCACATTTCTCTCTGCAAAAGAGCACCATGAAACGGGGTGCACCAATGCGGGCGTGGCACAGCAACAGACTTGCCTGTATACGCCTTCAATCGTCATGTTCAGGTCTGGCTTGTTGAAGAGAACTCCTGGCAAGAGATGCTTCGGCTTGAACAGATTGGGCGTATCGAAGAACTAAGAAAGGAAGGAACACATCTTTTTTTAAACTGTCAAAAGTGGGAAACACGAAAAAAGTTACGCGAGGGGGAGGAGGGTAGGGGGTGGTGGTAGTCGGGTTCATAGACGGTTCAAATGCTCTACTCCCAAAGATGCCGGATTAAACACAGAGCCCAATGGATCGAGTGTGGTGGATTTAGAGCAGATGTCAGGACATTTTAAAAGGATAGGGACAGCTGCACCAAACAGTGATGCCGACTGAGTTTTTTTATCATTCTTTTGATCAGAGTTTTGTTACAGTCACAAGTGTCAATCTAAACAAACTAACAAAAAACCTCAACAGCAGTACGGTACGAGTGAGAATACAGCATTCACATGCCACTTTAAAACCAGAGTGGGTCAGGAAGTGCCTGATCTTTAAACTTGGGTTACAAGGTTACACCGAAAAGGCATCCCAAGCACTCTGTGCGGCGATTTCTTTCAGTCACTTGTGGGTTTCGGTAAGTCGTGATGAGATACCACTTGAATGGAGCAAAGAGCTTTGTATGCTGCCGAACTTACACACTCCCAGAGGTCCGCGTGGCTGATGGATGTATAAAGGAGTTGTATTTTTTTTTATGTGGAGGGACAGATATGGGAAGCAGTATTGTCCTCTTATTTATTTTTATATGTCGTGAGCTGGGAAACCAACATTATTTAAGCCTTCCACAATGCACTCTTATTGTTTTGTGTCGAACAAATCCTCAACACGTTTACAAAGCACCCAATGCATGTAATGTACTGGGAAAACACAAACTATTCACTTGGGAAAAAATATATGCAGCTCACTCTTTGATCCTTTGTGAAAAGAGTAAGGTGTATTCTTACCAATGACTCCACATAAACAGGGCTGTTATATTCACCTGTTTGTTGCCACAAAACATTTTTAATAATGAGCTGAGTTTTTCTATTCAGCATAACTTATATCTCAGTGATCGAGACAGACAATGCTTAAAGATAACACACGCTCGCACATGAGAAAAAGTCACATCAAAAATGAGAAAAATATTAAGGATGCTACCACATGCATACTTTTGCCAACCAATAAAGTATGGATGGATATCGGTTAAATTCATTGCACTACGATTTGGCAAAGCTATAATTGGAAGGAAGACAACAAAGCCAAGTCACATGACCCCCGAGGGCAATGAACCCAGTAAATCATCTCTCTCCACGAGGCCCCACTGGAGCACTCTCAGCACTCCATCGTCCAGCAACGGCAGCCCTCTGTAGCCCCTTTTAGTCCTAAACCCATTTGACTTAAAAGGCGTTAACTCTTACAAATGAATCAAGCGTGCAAACCAAGTGGGATCCTCTTGCTTCGACTATCAATTAAGTGCCCACGGCATCTCTGGGGAAGAACCAATAAAACAAAGTTATTCCTTTACCCAAAGGTAATGAACGCATTCGCACAAGCGTTGGGCTATTTGAATATTCACCTCTATACTACAGGCTGAAATGCAGCTCATTTCGCAATGTAGCATTCGTAACGCTACATTAAGTATACCCAACCCAGCCCTACGATTAGCACGGTTGGCTGCGAAATAAGTTAAATATACATACATGCAACATGCCTGAGGGGTCTGCAATCTAAGCACCAACTGGTTTGCCTGCTGCAACTAGTGAGGAGTCAACGGTGGGGGCTCCTGCGGAGAGAATACACCGTGTCAGAATGTGGAATGTTTCCACCACTGGTACAGAACCTTCCACGAAGACGACCGCCTCCCCACACTCATTTGAGCAGAGACACAAAATGGGCCCAATTCTCGTAGTTTTTGTTTCCACACTTTTGTGGAATTCTGCCATTATCCGAAATTGCACGTGAGTTTTTTTTCGCCAAATTCATGAGACAGTTTTACACCTAACTCGCAAATCAGTCGCTGGATTGTGGCCCACGGCAGCAGGCTTGCTCTACTGCCACACCGAGCAACTAATCAGGCCTCCATCTCACGTTAAAAGGTTCCGCATAGAGCCTCTAACAGCCTGTTGGAGCAAGTTCTGTTTGCGAGCACCTATTAATGCTGGAATGGCACACGAGGCAGTGACGTGACCAGCACCATGCCCATTCGCGTTTGTATTCCCAATACTGATATTTACACACGCCGCACCAGGTACCCATTTGAGGCCGAGTCGATCTAGGGGAAGGCCCATAACCAGTTTAGATATTCATCACCGATGTGGGCTGTGAGCGGCAATCGAACTCGGGTTGCCAGGTTCATAGCACAGCGTGCGAACCACCGCTCTACCGTCACACACACACGCACTCATGAGTGAGACTTTTAATCTAAATGGATGCAATTCATTTGCACGTCTTCGTCGAATGTCGGGCAATCCACCCAGTTTACTTGATCAGCAAAACCCCATAAGGAGGACCTCACGGAACCACTCCCCCACAGAACAGAAGCGCGCATTCGCCGACCTTAAAGAGGTTCTTGTCAGCCAAGGCCTGGCAGAAAAGCTTTTCCACGTTCCCGCCCAGGACGAACGTGAACGTCACCACCAGCATCAGCAGCCACGAGAAGATGAAGCTGAAGGCTACGCCACTGCTCACAGCACAAACACATACGTACAGTGCAAAATAAGCTCAACATACATACATATATTCGACACACAGGGTTGTGCATTTACACATCCCCCCACGACGATCCAGGATTGGTGCTCCCACACTTCATTTTTCCATACTGCACAATACACTCCCGAGTGTTCTTAAAGTGGACACGTGGCTCAGAGAAGCAAAGCACTGAGCTTGTGCTGCAGACATCCTTCATTTAAATCCAGGTGGCTATTCATGATTAAAGGCTTTTAACTGTCCTGTTTTGATGTGTCTCAGCCCAGCTGCCAATGAATACAACAAAATGAATACGGTTTTTCACTTCATTTAGTCTCGCCAAAGCCCTGAGCAGTAAAGGGCATATCCTATATCAACGGCGCGCAAACAAAATTCTTTGAAGTGATGCTTTCAAATACTGGAACCATATTTAAGTGACAATGACTTCTGTGGCATAGCCTTCCAAAAAACACGTCACGCAATCACGCGACGCGACGCTCATTGGAGGTTGGGTGAGGTTGCAAAAGGCCGTTTTTTGACCTTATTTCTTGATTTTAATGGCACCAGCAAAGCACGTAATACTGCAGTTCCTTAAGTATGAACCATTCATGGATAACAATAATAATTTGCTTTTCATATAGCATCTCGGAGTGCTTTACAAGTGATAAGCGACACGCGTCTTATCTAAAACTTTGAAAGGGGACCCCCCCCCCCCCCAGTGACAGTTGTCCATGTGTTGCACAAGGTGGCTTATCACCTGGCCTGCAAGCGGGCATTAATCTGTCAGTAGGGGGCGATGATAGCTACGCATATCACACGAGTCATTTGTTGGCAATGACTTGAGCATACAATGTCCGACTCAAATCAGAAATGTATTTCCCGAGTAAGCCCATTCGGCTGAGCTCAGAGAATCCTTAACGTCCACCGTGAAAGCACACGGCCACCCTAAGCTTACGCTAAATCCACCCCTCCCAACAATAACCAGGGGGGGCCTGGCCGATTCGAACCGCGGACCTCCGCAACAACGAGCTGCGAATGCCGCTCGCTACTGCCGGGGGGGGGGGGGCCGCGTCACCGCCGCCCCGTACCCGCACCGCCCAGCGGGCAATTCGCTGCTCACGCCATCAGGAAGTTTCCGCCGGTGTTGGAAATGCAGCCGCGCGTGGTGGGCGTCGCGTGCTTGTCGTAGCCACACGCCCCGCACATCAGGCCCAGCAGGTTGAAGAGCACCACGAGGCCCGCGAGCGAGCAGAGGACGATGCACACGAGCCACCTGCGCGACAGCGGACGCACGGCACGCTCGCATCGGTGGGCCTCTCTCTCGCGCGTGCGAGCGAGTGCACCCCCCCACCAATACTCATGTTGCTGGGCCTTCTCCCCCCCCCACCCCTGCCAACACAGAGACATCTCCTCGATGCGGATTTTTTTTTTTATGCGAGCTTGAAAAACCTTGCAGTTTTCTTGGTAATTAGAGCGACGCTCCAAAGATACCAACAGATAATTCTGCCTCCGATGTCCAACTGTAGAATGGCCTGATGGCGAAAATTACCGGCCAAGGCAATACACTTTGCATATTTACAAAAACCACACAAGTCCACGCAACTATTTTTTTAATCAAATTGTTGCGTAACACTGAAGATGCATGTCATTAAATGCAACCCACGAATCAGCAACTGTATGTACGACTTAAACGTCAAGAGTATGCGCTTACTCATTTAATACATACATCTGCAGCGACGTGCACAACGAATACGTTGGGGCCCTTCTTGCAAGTACACTTAAATACAATAGCTCTCAACCCTTCCACCAAGCTGTCATCATCAGCATGTGGATGGGGCCCATCAAAATAAATTATGGCTTCCCAGTGGTGTTCTTGCAATGCAGAAAAAAAGCCAAGCCGGGAAAAAAAACAATAGATCTTCAATAAAAACATGATCATAAACATTGTTTGTTCTGTACCCTTAAGCGGGCGGGGATTTCCTGCCCTGGTTCTCCCTACCCGTGAACCATCCCTCCCCCCATCCCCTTCTAACATCCTATACATCAGTCGGTCAGCCAGTGTGTTTTGGGCGAGGCCCACTGAGTTCTCTCTCAACGGCGACCTGACCAACCAACAAGCATGGTACATGAGAGAGGGTTTACGGTTGGCTACGTATGGTGCGAAAGAAGTTCAACATACATACATACACACATGACTAATAGTACAGTAAATAACTAGAACTATGTACAAAGGAAATCTAGTAAGAAATCCCAAATTACCACGTTATGCATGACACCAATGAAATGAAATTAACCCATATATAATTGCATTTCCTACGTTGAAGGAAGTTCTAAAAATGACATTTTAAAAGTTCCAGTCACAAATGGCTTCACGAATGGCACCGGCAAGTGTGGAAGTCGTAGTCATCAAGCGACGCCTTCAATGCAGATAAAGAAGGTCGGGTCGGAATGTTGAGGCGAGTGACCAAATTCATTGCAGAATTGATGTGTGCCTCCATTGAACTCACCGCTCCTTCTCAAGGAGGATGCGTCCACGCGAGCGCTCTCAAAGGCGAGCCTTTGCCTGTTTCTACACCCAACAACAACGTTTTGATCTCTCATTTCTTATAGAGACAGCTTCCCCATTTGTGCACGAACACGGAATTATTATTGTCACATTGCTTACTAGTGCAATTTTGATGGTTTGATTTGTAACATGAATAAAATTCACAAATAAATAAAGAATTCGCCCAGATACTCGCGCAGTATTTGTCTTTGTGGTCATTAGTGATACGTATACAAGCATGCTCAGCATTTCCATTCCTGTAAGACGGTGTGGCTTTGCGCTGTGCACTAGAGAGAGTCATGCCACAGCAAGCAGACCCGCGGGACAGCTGAGACGTCACGTCACACCCGACAGCGCTTCACTCTGGCCGTGCGGCACTGCGCTTGCCTGTAGAAGTCGTACTGGTCAACCATGGGCAGGTGCTTGTGCACCAGCGCCTGGCCCATCTCCAGGTACTGGGTGCCGTTGTTCACTATGAGCTGAATGGGCAGCTGCTTCGCCGTCGTCTTTATGCTGGCGCCCACGTTGTCGAGTAGATCCTTCACGCCTGCTCACACGCACGCACGCACAGGCCGGCAATGAGCGCTGGCAGTGCGGTTCCGCCAGTTTGCCAGAAGTTGTGGGGCCATGTCACAGACACCATGATGAATGACCAACCACCTTAGAAGCAGAATCTCGTGTCTCCACGTATAAATTAATATATGTTTTAGCCCATCGCCTCGTGAATTTCCATAACAATATGCCGATGGACTAAAACATTTATTTTGAAATACAAAATGGAGTTCTGCTCATATATATGTTTTAACCCATAATGAGCCACAACATTGCATAATGACTTTGAAGATTAACACAATACTCTAATTTTTTTTATCTGAATGTCGCACAATTAACTCACAAGCACGTCGAAGAAAATGTGTTGTCGTTGTTTAGAATAAAGCTAAATTATTTTCAATTTCAAAAGTCAAATTGTCCTTTTTGTGTGTGGAGGTATATGTCAAAAGCACATGGTGACCGGACTTCATCTATCAGCAATCCTCGGGAATTTAGGCACAGAAAATAAAGCCCTCTGGTGCATTTCAAATGTAAAAGTCATTAAGATGATTGCACCGCAAGTAACTATTCATTCATTTCACCTCTAGAGCCCAATAACAATGAGAAGCAATTGTGGAGAAGAGTGGCAGGAAAATAGTTTCGCACTCAATAACAAAACAGTGTTTTGGTCACTCATTAAAAACCTGGTAATGCTGTGGAAAAATGAATTGATGACGAAGCAACTATATTTAGGTTTCATTCTAAAATTCCCACACAGTCAAATGCTTAGAATTGACAAAGTGGCTTCATGTGTTAATGTTTAAGGGATATCTTCTGCAAACCCTTGTTTGAAATTATCAGCAGAGAATGGATCTAGAATAATTTATGCAATCAAAAAATCTGTTTAAATATACATACTCGTTATTGAAATCCAGTTAAAATTAACTATCTTAGACCAAGTCTGACGAAAGCCGATAAACTTTTCATTTCACGAAATGTTGATCTACTTGAGAGTGGATTGAAATGTCCTCAAGCCCGAATCATCTCCACTCATGGTTTACCAACTTCATCTCGAAGGGCTGCAGTCCGTTTCTACATTTCCATGCTCATCAATCATCTCCGGCCACATACACTTTCAATGCCAATCAACGGATGCTATGCCCTGCATTGCATCTGCCTATGAGCAAAAGGAAACAAACGTGGACCGAGCAACAGCCTTGAGGACCGGTGACCTAGATAACGGGCTGCCACCGAATTAGTCCTCACATTCATTCCGTGAGTTCACAAAACCTCACCGCATCCAATTTAAACGCACGCACACCTTGATCTGACTCGATGAGCCCTCGAAAGCACATGTATCGTAGTCATATATCTGTTATGAATCTGAAAATCAGCTACTTGATGATTGCCAAAAATATTAATTACTTGGGTAATTTCTCAATTATTTTCTTTCACTCCGGCACTAATAACCATACATGCCTGGCATACATGATTCGTAAATACTCTGCTGATGCATGCAAAGCACCCATTAGAAAATGTAAATCTACAGCACATGGGGCCGATGGGGCATTTCTTGTGATAAAGCGTACGTATTGTGTTGAAGTTAATTATCTGTTTTCTTGTTCAGTGTTAAGTCCAGTTAAATTATAGAGCAATATGCTATATGCTATACAGCCAACTCTCAATTATCCAGAGTGATGGATGGCCTAGATTCACTAATAACACTGATAGTGCAATACTTCAATACTTGCCACCATGTTTGCGGTCACGTGGTCGATAGGCCATGAATGATAAGCTGCTCTAACGAAACCTGTCAACTCGTAAAGAAGATATTCTATTTGTGTTTTCTCAAGCACGGGTAATCCGCACCCGGGATTATCCACCCATGGACTATCCAGAGTTAACTGTACTCAAATCTGGAGCCAATTTTAAACACATTAATAGTGAGGCACTTAAAAAGCAGACCCTTGGCTATTCCGTTCAAATTCATGAAGAGAAAAACACAGGATGCTTCTATGCATGCTGTGTTTACTGCACTTACGCAATTTCGCTGAAAAGACAATGTTTAATAATCCAGGCAAAAGCAATACGAACGAAAAAATGTTTGCATTACACAAAGCAGAGTCAACTCGTGGAATTCCATGCTCATCAATAATATGTGAACAAGTTTGAGAAAACCAGCTGTGTATTATTATACTTTATCACCGCTTTGTTATCTTACCTGCAGCAATGTTCCTCGTTTGCTGTGTAATGATTTCAGGCGTGTCATTAAAAGTTGCGTAACCCTGCGCAGGGGGGAAAATTACCACCAAAAATTAAACATTGATGTCGGAAATTTACGATTTCTTTTGTGTGTCGCCAATACTCTTAATCTTTACATACGATGATGAACCTGATAAGTCTCAGACATATTACGACAACTTGCGCATTGCAAGATTTAAAAAAAAAACAGAACATACCTTGTCAACCATCGCTGTAATGTTGGTGTCTAGCAGTCTGTTCACCTGCCCCAATTCCCGGGACACGTCCTGCAGCTGCACAGGAAGACAAACACCACCATCAGCTCTGCGCACTGTCAAACTAAACCAAACCCGGTCCTTTTAATGTTCAGTAAACCTGTTCTTCAGTGCTCAATGTACTTACATTGTTTCTAAGCTCATGCATTAATTAAACATTTACAGCGGTTAAGCTTGGTCTTTTTTATCTGGAAGAACACAATTTCATGTATTCTACACGCACACACGGTAAAGACGGTCAGGCCCTCTTGTGTTTAGTGGTATGCGAGGGCAGTTAAGGCTGCCATGGAAAGACAACATCCAGCCTCTTTTCATAGCTCTTCATTTTAGCTTGAGTTATTGACTAAGGGGAGGGAAGTTGGTTACAGTTGCATCTCATGTGTATAACTAAGACTTTAAACCCAGGAAGGCAGCCAGAACCAGCGCCAAGAATTGCCCAAGCTCTATGACTCTATATGAGGATGTTTGACCATCTCCATTGAGTACTTATACAGAAAACCAGAGCCCTCAGAGACAATTCACATGGATGGAGGGTGGTAACACTCAATCCCCGTACAGATGGAATACAGATGAAAATGAACCAACTGGCTGTACTGCCACACCCTGGCAAACAAGGAGATGGCGACCTCGCAGCCCAGCAGATTTGAGTTTCCCGAACGTGCTTGTGATCCACCAACCCTCGCCTCTGCGGTGCTGTGGATTAGAGGCCGCGTGAGGAGCCACCAGGACACTCAGGGCACAGCGCACGCAGCGCTGGCGCTCACCAGTTTGCTGTCCTTCCCCTGCACCTTCGATTATCGCGGTTGGCTACGTACGGTGCGACAGAAGTTCGACATACATACATACACACGTACATACCAAGCTGAAGTCGGCGTGGATATCCAGCACGACGAGCTGCCCCGACATGGCGGCGCACTGCTGTGCCCTCTGGCACATTGGGTCATTGAGGGTCGCGTTAAGGCTGTTGCGCACGGTCGTCAAGTTCCTCTGCAGCTTCTCCGTGCCGTCGCGTAGCACCGAGAGCGACGTGTTGACGTCCAGCAGTGCCTGGCGCGTCGCCGACATCACTGCCCGTTCGAGGATGGGGGGGGGGGAGCGCGTCAGCGAGCAAGCGATCGTCGTTGCGGTCATCGCCATTGGTCACGTGGCCGACCTTTGGTATCTCCTCGGCGGATTAAGGGTGTGATTTTCTCACGGACAAATGCGCTTTGGAAATGGGTAAAGACGGTCGCTTAAATTTCACACGATTGGCATTCTTGCGAGAACACAATGTTATTTTGTGAAATTATAAACGTCCGTTACATTCGATGTGCACTAACTTATATACTGCATCATTAGACTTGTCTTATCAAAATGTTATTCAGAAAACAATGTACATACAGGCAGGCCTCGCTTAGTCCTCAAGATGCGTTCCTGGAGAAGTGGGGTCTGGTTGGCTGAGAGTGTGCGTCACTCTCATTGGCTGAGTCAATGATGGGGGCTGCTACGTGTTCACTCGAAAGCACTTTGTAGACATTTTTGTTTTTGATGTTCTTCATTTTCTTAGTAAAAACTTTCTCCAGGACAACGGGCACGATAACGAATGTGTGCTCTATGGGATCATGCTAAGCGTGGTCTGCCTGTATACTTAAACTAAAAAACGGCAACAAGAGCGGGCATCATTCAATTGCAATGGGCATCTTCAGTTACACCACCAGATGCAAGTTTGTTACAGTGCGGACATTTAAAACAGCAAATCGTTTTCTGAAAACATTGAGCAAGATTTCACTACAGGGAATTCATAATGCTATGACAAGCAATCGGGAAAAATAAGGTATAAACTACACGCGTCAACGCACTTTGTGAAACTAATTGGAACGCTGATATGCAGCCAACGGACTACTAATGGGAGCTGCACTCGAATTGCGGATTTAATTTCCACGTTGAAGGGAAGTGTACCAAACAAAATAACATTTTGATTTAAAGCTTTCGTGACTGCAGGGATTCATATTCTTGGTTCTTTCGGTAAAGTCACGTAGGAGGGAAACAATAAAATAATAAAAAATATAAAACAATAAAATATTAAACAATAAAACCTTATGATTGCAATGATGATTGCTTCTGTTGCAGTCGAAACGTCGTGAGAATTTTATTGTTTTATATTTTTATTATTTTATTGTTTCCCTTCTACGTGACTTTACCGAAAGAACCAAGAAAATAACATTTATTCGGGACAGACACAAAGGGTCACTCAAGTGTTGCGTTACCTTTGGTGATTTTCCCCCCAGTGACTTTGGAACAAAGCGAAATAGGGAAACAAATGTTTCCAAAGATCAATGGTACAGAAGCAAAGCAAAGCAGTGTTGTTAGTGAATGCATTTCAGCAGCCAAAATCAACAGAAATAGCAAACAGAAAACCAAAGCAGGTAATCAGATCCACGATTACACATTTTAAATTTGAGTTTAGCTCAAGCAACACAGAGAAGGAATGGAATGAAAAACAATGACTGGCACATGACATTTCCAAAACGCAAATATCATCAAGTGCAAACAGTTTGTCGAGGAGAAGGACACGCATCTTATTTAAGGCCGGGGTTGTGGGGCTTCTGGAGTTGGCCCCGCACCACCAAATGTCCCTTATGCCCCCCACCAGCATTCCCTCTCCTCTGCTGTACACCACTCGCATTTTGCACCCCACCCCCCAACGCAACAACTCTGCCCCCCCCCCCGCCACCGCCACTGGAGCTGGGCCTGATTGGAACCTAAAATGTGAACGTTTTTATTTATATTTTATAAAACGGTTTCACTCCATTGCCTTTGCTCTCGCGTAGCTGTGGCGTGCGTGATGTAGGTGTGCACTGCGGCGAACTTCGTCCGCACTGCACGCAGCCAACCGTGCTCGTCGCTGGTGGTGAAGGTGCCGTGTGGACACTGACCGTTGGCCATCTGTAGGGCAGCCTGCAGTGCGGGATAAACCTTCGTGCCCAGCCGGCTCTGGATCCTCTGGCCCAGCAATGGTCCCACCTCTGCAAACGTCCGAACCGGTACGGATCAAATCGAGATGTAAAGCAACTGCAAACGCCATGACCCCGAACACTTACTTACTTGCGTGGCAAGCCAAGGCAAAAAAGCAATTAGTCACGCTGTGAAGCAAAACTGCAACGTTAATAGCATTAACACTGGATAAAGCATTTTAAACACCAAAATATTTTTATTATCAGATGTAAGTTCACATTTAGGATGGATTTTTTGGGGGGGATTGTGTTAATGAAAAAAACCCATACGTGAAGTCCTTGCCACAAACCTTTCAAAACACCAACCGAATGTTCTTAAAATAGACGCTTTTCCTGTTTTCCTCTGTACGTTTGCACTCCATCACACAGGGCCCAGCAGATGAGCATAGATTAGAAGCGAACCGCTAGGGGGACTAAGCACCCCCACTCAAGGGCTGCCTGGCCACCTGGCCACGCAAACATCTCTTATCTTACTTTATATTTACATGCCCTGGTAGCAGCGACACCACCCTTCAGAGTCCTGAAGGGTGGTGTCGCTGGCATGCCTCACCACCATTAGCCCTATCGTGCTCTAAGCAGCTCCTGATTGAATCAGGCCCTTGTGAGGGCAACAAGTCACGGGATACCCACTCCACGTGCACTGGAGCAAGTGCCACAACGCAACCAAGTTAAAGTGTTTATTTTGTATTCATAATTGACTTTTGGGTTAGGCCACGTAATAATCTGGTCAAATTTCTGTCGTACCAACTGACATAGCCAAACACATTAAATTGTTGCGTGTACATTTTTTTTATGCTCATTGCGATTATTTTTTCATATTTAACCATGAATTGTATTTAAATCAGACTAATATGAAGGTTTCAGTACGAAGTTCTTATAGCGCACATATCAGGAACAGTCACGCGGACAAACTTGGAAAAATTACCTCACGTACATGTTCCATGTACTGTAACTTGTAGGCCTTGGCAAGAGTGTACGGTGAACAATATATTTTGTTTGTCGAAAAATATACGAATTGTGCATCTGATATGGTGTATACAAATACCAGTGGCCTCTGTGCTGAAGTAGATAGGCATTTTCTGGAAAACAGGAAGGCAAACGGCGCGATAGCTTGTGCCCACAATTCCGCCGGGTGGCTACTCTTCCTCTATCCTACCTGTTTCTATTCACTCATGGCATGCCGCGCGCCAGTACAAAATATAAATCTTGAATAAATAATCACTGGCTGAAGAAACACACTCATTTTCTTTAAACACATGAAACCACGTATGCCCAAACTCCATGTCTCACCCCCCTCCCCCCGGTTTTCAAATTCTAGCAATTACCAGGTGCGTGGTGCACAATGTGTACCCATTTCATTGAACAATTGAACGAATAACGGTCGTATGGACACCGACATTATCGGCTCAGGAGAGGGAGGCCGCACGTGCAATTGAACGTGATACACAGAGACCGTCTTGCCGCGTCTCCACGACCGCTGTGGGGGATGAGCCGGCTCGGTCGTCCGCACACTGGTCCAACACCAACAGGCCTCGGCCACGGTTCCTACGGCAGCCCTGACCAGGCCGAGCCGACGTCAAGCAGGCGGTGGCCTCACGGGTCTCCCCTTCCTGAACGGGGACCGTGGCGGCTTTACCAAAACCACCCTCGCAGCCGGTCACAGCGTCACATCCGGATATCAACCCAGAGCCGGTGGTGACCACCACTTAGTTCAGCTTCCAGCAGGAACGTATGAACGTGACAGAGACATTAGCTTGGGGGAATCCTCTTAATGTAGCCTGTGTTGAAACGCGATTTGCAATAGTCGTTCCACCGATCGCTTCCCAGAAGGCCGTGGAGGGTAGAAAAGGGCAGTGGGGCGAGGGGGCGTGGAGCGTGATGGTCAGAGCTCCCCTGCAGCCTCGTGGCTCACGAGTATGGGGACACGGACAGGGGCCATCCTGCTGATGTTGCGCCCGGTTTCCAGCGGTCATGGAAACATAGCATTAGTCCCAACGGGGTCCGCACCGGGATATAACTAAAAGTTGTGATGACTATGAAATTCTGCCTGAATAGAAAGGACATTATTACCCGGCACTGCAGATAATGCCAAGAGATGCGAATACAATTACTTACTATGATTTAAAAAGTTAAACATTTACAGGTACATAAAACCCCAAAATGAACAAGCAACAACCCTAAATATTTACACTCACGGTCGAGGTCGGAAACCGCCCTGTCCTTCGTGATGTTGTACTTTTCAACGATGTAGTCGATTTGCTAAAGACAAAGAAAAAAACACACTCAAGTCAGTCACACGACTGCCTTGTACCCTGTTCAAAACCACGCTTCGATATGTGAAGTCACAGCCACAAAACGAGTTACGCTGCTGACTATTTTGGAGTTGGAATCCCCCTTTCGTTTAAATTTCACGACAAGTGGAATTCTACAAATTAGCCGCAATGCTCATCTGCAATTTGCACAAAGCCCCCTAATGAGAACCACTGTGGCGTGCACACCACATGGGCGACGTGCAAATGAGCTGTTTATTTTTGGCAGGGCTCTTGGTGGTGAGAAGACAACACCGGCCATGTGCCTCTAATTAGGTCCAACTCACGTCCGTAATGAAAGCAAAACGTGCCGCGTCATTGCAGCGCAGTGGCTGACTTTGCTGCGGTGCAAATTGTGACCGCAGTAAAAAAGCCTAAACTTTAAATCTGGCCTCACTATTAACCTTTTTATGTATGTGCTATGGAGAAGGGCCATTACCCAAAGCATAATATATTTTATACTTTTCATATTAATGCAGTGGCATTGATGAATGCGTCGAGTTGTTCTTGTTGTTTATGTTTTGTGTGCCACTGCGAATGCGGTTTTAGCGAATCATTTTCTAAACTTTCATCTCCATCCACAGGTGCGTAAGGCGCGTGGTTTTCGGTTACATTTAACAGAGAAAACCGCGCGGACGTGAGGCTGGGGCAGCTGCCGCTTACGCCGGGTGTAGTGTTGAGCAGGGTCCGGACGTCCTTGAAGTTGCTCGACAGCAGGGTCTCCGACTGCCGGATGGTGTTGGTCACGTTGTGGTTGGCCACGTAGGCACACACAATGCCTGCCCTGCACGGAGACGTGAAGGGAAAGCAGAAACATGTTTGACTTACCACAGAGAACACACAAATACCACTGGCTTAATCTCATGTTTCTGGTAAAATACTCATATTTCGTCACTCTTGGGTAGAAAAATTAACAAGTCGCCACAATTTTCTACCGAATCGACTGCTTTTCCCAATGGTAAAAAAAAACAGTTGAAGCTCATCCATTCCATAACACCAGATGCTATGGTGCGAGCGACTGCAGCTTCATGGGACAGCACGAAACCTTTCAATATTTATTCTAAACAATTGACGTGTGCCCTGAAAGTAACATCAGATCATACGCTACCCTATACCGTAGCCAACGAAAAGGCCGGCAATTACAGCCACATGATTCGCTCACTCATATGGAAATGGCCAAACATGAAAATGCAGGGTACACCCGAAAATGTCTTGAGGCTCCGAAATGCTCTCCAGTGTATATAAATGTTGTTGTTGTTATTAAATAAATGTATTTATAAGATAACGCCATCAATCTACTCCCTGTATGTTAACTGCATACAGCTAGTTCAGTGCCTAGTTCAGTAACCAGAAAATTTGGGTCACAAAACAATCATGCACGTGCCTCCTACACTTGTGAGTGACTACTTCTCTTTTGTACCTTACATATCCACACCCTCCCTCTGTCAATGTAACACGAGAATTTTGACCCAGCTGTTGTGAAAACGAAAGTGGCAGCCACCCACAGTGAACAATCGACAGCAACCCCGCCGCCAAGCTGTCCCTGTGCAGAACGCGTCCGTCTCAAATCCCTTCCCACAAGTTTCACAATGTTGCCCTCTGCTTTTAAACACGCTCCGCAACAAGCCGCACGATATCGTGCACAATACCGAGTGAGGACCAAAAACACAGACGTCAGTGCCGTTTCTACAATGCTTATGTAAGGCGTGGGATTATATAAAAGCTAATTATGAAAATGGGCCGAGTTTTCGTTTTTTTAAGTTTGTGGTGTCAGGTGTGAGCAATTAATTAAATGGGAAATGCATGCCTAGCGTGCAAATATTTAATTGGCAATTATTATTACGCCGAGCACAAACGTGGGGGTCCTAACATTTCACCCCTAATGAGATCAAGGACACTTTGGCAAACACTCATTGCGTGAAGGGATGGCAAAAACACTGCCGCCGCCTTCACTGCCGCTGCCGCCACCAACAAGCGAGAAAGCGGCCGCCACCGCCACAGGCGAGCAAGCGGCCACCACTGCTACCGGCAAGCGAGCAGGCGAGCAACCGCCACCGGGGAGCGAGCGAGCGGCCGCTGCGAGAAGAAGTGTCGGCGGAACGAGACGACGTACGCGATGACGAGCGTGACGAGGAAGAGCGTGGCACCGAAGCAGCTGCGCTTGCAGTCGGCGTTCTTCCGCTGCCTCTGGTGCATCTCTCCGCCGCAGTTCCCGCAGCAGCGGCACATGCACAGGCAGCAGCCCACCAGCGGGAGCAGCAGCAGGAAGACGACGCCCAATGCCGCGCACACGATGAAGCCGAGCTCATAGTAGATGATCTGATGGCAACGGTTGGGTCCGGTGAAAGCACAACGTAAGCGCACGGCCACATCACCGACTCATCCACGCCGAGTTGAACCGCCACACTTGCAGGTTACGACACTTAACAATGGTATCATAATTTCGAGGTGCAAGGCGCTGCACAGCATTCACCATAGAGATAGAACTCAGAGGTATGAAGAACCACAGACAAGCGGGAAGGCAGCCACAGGATTGGCCAGCACCAACCAATGCCCAAGCTCTGAGATCCTCTACATAGTCTATCAACATTTTGTGCGATCCACCAACCCTCGCCTCCACAGTGATGGTGTACAGGTGTGCGCCTTGTTCCCAACGCACTGCTCCAGTTTGGAATTCCCTCAAGCACTTGTTCACTTGCTCTTTTAAGCGTGCTCATTTTAAAAAAAAAGTGATAACTGTTATATATTACAATTTTCAGGCCACTTCAAACCAGGTACTCAGCAACTGTGTTTAAAATATAAAAAAGCCCAACATCAGCCATCACCTCTCACACAAACGCACGCTTACTCCGACGGGGCCACTCTTGTTTCACCAGACAAACCGTCGTGGGTCGTCAACATTCTTACCAGGGTCACGCGCACGGCCAGCGTGTGTGTAATATTCTGAAAATTGGGTGGCTTTGTTACGTGAAAGCCTACCGGAGTACAGCATAAAAAGCTTGGACATCTGTTGGCGAGGTTTAGTGAAATGCCAAGGCGTTAGAATTGGAAATGTGCCGTCGTGATGTGATAAACCGAGTGAATATACGATGAAAATTAACGCCAGACTAGCTCTGGGCAGGCGTCACTAATGGCACGGAGAGATGGCCAGCATATTCTTTTTTAAACATGAATCCTTTTAAATACTCTTCCAAGTGATATTTTAATATCTTCTTCGACAATTTGGACCAGTATACCACTCTGAATGGCCAACTTGTTGTAAGTTACATTCATCTGTTATACATCCAGACAGGTTTACCAAAAAAAACATAAAGAAAGGATCACAATGGAGTCAGCATACTCGAGGAGCATACCTACAGGACAGACAGAAAGACTTATTTTTACAAGCATTTAACACACAGTTCGCTCTGAAATACCCATCAAATACCGATGCGTATTACCACTGCACATACACAAAAAGCACACAAACATTACAAGACCACAAAGAATGGACAGTGGCTATTTTAAAATATTCACTCTTGATTCATGAACGCAGACAAAATCCTTTCTGTTCTAAAACATTTCAACCGAGTTAGATTTGCAAGGGGCAGTGCCCAAGCCTGAGTAACAGATCCAGGCGTAGAGCAAAGGTCACGACAGACGCGCCAGGTAGCACAATGCTGTGTGCGTGTCATGAATCCTTGTTGGGAATCAAGACTTAGCATCGCATATGGTAGTATCAGATGTAATGGGCTCATTACTATGTGCGAACTTCTTATTTAGAATCTGATCAAATCAAGACATAACAGTATCGGGTATACCCAGCTTACAATCACAAGGAGCTTTTTTGTCCAAAATAAGTCACAGCGAGTCCATTCAAAAACGTATTCGTATTAACTGCTGTGAGAGAAAAAATATCCGAGACACTCGTGGAAATAGTGCTGTCACCATTATAACAGTGAGACCAGCACTGACCTTTTGACATCTGAATTGATAAACGGCTTTAGTCAATAAGGACCTTCTGAAGTTGACTCTCTGTTGACGTTTTGATTTAAAGCTTTCGTGACTGCAGGGATTCATATTCTTGGTTCTTTCGGTAAAGTCACGTAGAAGTGAAACAATAAAATATTATGTTATAAAATAAAATATATTTGTATTATTTTATTGTTTCCCTTCTACGTGACTTTACCAAAAGAACCAAGAATATGAATCTCTGTTGACGGTTCGCTGGCAAGTTGTATGTCATTCAACAAAACCTAACCGACCCGGGAGAACACCACTGGAAAGAGGCCAAATCTTAAGACAGCCATCATACGGTTAGACTTACGATACGTTGGGGACAGAAACAAATGGTGCCGCCTTATAGGCTTCATACATAATGGCGGGACTGTCTCCTTGCTGTGGTTTTAGGCCCACGTTTAAAAAAAAGGAGCATCAGTGCCTTACTTTAAAGAAAACGGGGTTTATTACCAGGGCAGCTCAAAACTAATGAGCACATGCAATGCTGTTTCACAGATACGCATACCTCAACATGCATAATCTATTAGGCAGGTCTTCCCTGTGGCTGCGGAGACCTTATACCCTGACCCAAGTCTAAGACCGTAAATTATCTCTTTGTAATTATGGCTGTGATACGAATAAACTTGCCTCTGGATGTATTTTTTTTAAAGTCCACCAACATTCTGGTCACGTAGATACACACACATAGACAAATAATCCCTCACAAGGAATTAAGTCACGTGCTATTTGCAAGCACACAGAGGTCAATATATGTATGTTGAACTTCTTTCGCACCATACGTAGCCAACCGTGCTAATCAGAGGTGCGGGTGAAGGAAAATTAACTACAACAGAAAAATCACGTGAGGATTTGACTTGCCAGCAATCAAACAGCCCCCTATCTCCCCATATAGACTATCTTGGACATTTCAGTAAGCGAGCACCTATTAGGCCAAAAAGGCAGTCTAAAGCAGACATGTGGCCAGTGCTATGAAAAGCTTGCCACCTTTGTCTCCCAATAATAATTTCAGTTTTCAATTCCTACCGGAATTGTGCGACAAGAATCGAACTAGCAGTGTTGGAATTAGTGCAATGATCGATCCACATTTCCCATGCTCCTTCATATTTGCCTTTGCCAACAAACTCACATACATAAAGATTGCCCTTATAGCCATGCATACATTTGAGGCAAGTGAAGGTCGCCACTGAGCGCGAACGGGGTGGTGTTTACTACGCACCGCACCAGGTACTCATTTAAGGCGGAGTCGACCAAGGGGAGTCCCAGGACCAGTTCAGATCATCACCACTGATGTTGGCCATGATTGGGAATTGAAGTCGGGTAGCCGGATTCATAGTGCGTAGTGCGTAGTGTGAGCTAACCACTACGTTGGTGTTCCCCACCATACACTTATAACACATAACAGAAAACCTTCACGGCAAAAATTGCTTCACGTTCCATTTTTCCTGGGCAAAACGGCGTCGGGTAAGACATTCAGCCACATCAGACGTGACCATGAAAATGCAAAAAACGTGGCAAGTTGCGGCGGTATAACGCCCATCCGAGGTTAGGGAGCGCGGCGCGTTCCTGCAAGGTCGAGATCGGCCACTGCAAAACCTCGTGGCAGCCGCCATCACGCAGTCTTCAAACCGGTGGCTATAACCAACCTAGATACATGGGGGGGGGGGGGGGGGGGTGGCAAAAATGCTGCAGAAAGCCGGCACACAGCAGCAAGCGTGCCGGATCTTCCCGCGGGACGCGCGGCGAAACCAGAGAGCGGCCGCGCATAGCTACGCTAAAATCAACGCGAATGAGAAATTAAAAGGAGAAGCGGCGGTGGAGTTACCTTGAGCATCAAGACTACTCTCTCAGCCTGATGTGCCATGCACGTGGCGAATGAGGCATGCAGCGTGGAACAACAACAAAAAACACGTCCATCGTGAGGCAATCAAGCGCAGGGCAACAGGTGAAATGAAGTACCGAGTTAATTTAATTCGCACGACTTGCCATTACAAAATGAACTTCCGACGATAACAATGCAGCGTCAAAGACAGTGACTCGCGGGAAATGCATAGCGTGAAAGTGATGCACGGCGACACAAATGAGTGGCTCGTGATTGCACAGCAGGTACGAGCGAAAGTGAAAATTGTGAACCGTGCAAACTAACCTGGTGATAGTCCTTGTTCACGACTCCAAAACCTTGCTTCATTGCTTTGGCGAGTAGCTCTGCAAGAGAGAAATGCCACAAGAATATAAACATCACAATCTCTTTGAACAAAAACAAATTCATGAATTATTCCCGGTAAACGTTTTCAAAGGTGTGCATCACGTAAGTTTTGCTTTGATATACACGCACGTATTCTATGCAACCATAGAGCACGTAAAGTGCCGGTGTGAAATATTTCTAAACCAAAATCTAACGTGAGCGTAGAAACTTTAGCGCAAATTTGTGAATGTAAATTGTGCCGAAACTTGCTCTGGAGCAGTGGTTTTCTGCATGTGGCAAGGTCACCACGTGGGGTTACACGAGACATCTCCAGGGAGTACGCGAGACAATTCAGAATCAGAATATATATTTCTAATGGAGGAATCCGATGAGCTATAAAGCTCTTTTCACAGATGTCCAGGAGAGGCAAGTCAGAACGTTACAACAAAAACACGACAGGAGTGCAAATATATGAGAGATAAACAAATCACTTTAAATTTATACAAATAACACTTTTTTTTCTTTAACTAGTAAAGCCCACTGAGCTCTTAGTTTATTTTTCAGACGTGACCTGGGCACAATGGATAGCTCAACGAAGTGGCTTATCACGTGTATATTTATAGCAGCAAAATAATCTAAATCATCTAAACACATGTTTCTAAATGTGGAGGGAAAAACCAGAGGACCTGGAGAGAAAATCCACCCGAGCAGAGGGAAAACATGAAAACTCCAAATATCAAAGTGTCAGGGTCAGGTTCTAATCCACAACCTTCGGCGTACCACGTGAGGGAGTTAACATCTTGCGACCACGGCACCCCGTATACTTACCTGTTGTATGATTTGGCAAACCCGTGCACTTGGGACACCCCTGTCATCCACTGTTCTACTAACTCATGCTCTCTCCCTCTCGTTAATCACAATAATTTTCCAAATACACAAAGTAAATTCAAGTCCGTTCCAAAATATGATTAACATTCCACATCCCGTGGACCTCAGTCTTAGCCCTCTGCTTCTTGGTGATGATAACTCGGCTTAGAATATACAAAGTGATTTTTTATGTGTTCTTAAACTGTAAATATATCGTTAATTATATTCAGTTATTTAGCTTAAACTAAATGTGTTAGTTGTTAATAATGTGTAAATGTAATTAAAATGCAGACTTTTTTTTCTTTTTGACCAAAGGCCAGCCTATATGCTGGTAGGGGTATGTGGCCAGTTGACAGGTCAGGTAGGCGGTACACGAGTAGGCCCACGAACCCACAAGAACAATAATGAGAATGTGGAACCTTGTTTACTGCTGCATAGCGGCCAAAACAAAATGCAGAGGGCACTGCACTGAAAATCATTAATCAAGCAGCTGCAACATTTTATAATAATCTAAAATGCTTTGTATGACCATTTAGCACTGACTCAAAGTGCAGTGATATACGTTTATGACACAATACACACTTCCAGTTTAACAGCTTCACATAAATGTGTCTCGTTAGAATGACAACGTGAGCACTAACAGAAGTGACATTGTGCAGTAAACGTCCGACAGGATTAACGCAATTGAATAATTTGTACGCGTGGCTCAGCACAGCAGGTGACAGAGGTTTACCCACTGATCTATTTGGCCAGATTACTCAAAAATTCATTATCAAATATTTCATTGCACACTAAGCTCTCGCATGCCACCTGCGGAAAGCTCCCGCGAAAGTAGGTCACCGCACAACACAACGCGAGGGATTTACAGGCCTGGCAGCCGCACATCGAACTGGGCGCCCAAACACTTCCCGAATATCGTGAACATAAAACAGCGAGGGGAGGGAACGCATCCAGACTCACTAACAATCATCTCGCTATGTTTCTGTTTTTGATCTGCAATACGCAAATCACCTCTGTATTAAGGCACATTTCAGCGAAACAAGTTTTGTCATGCATACGTTCACTCACTGGCGCAACCAGAACAGAAATGTACAAATAGTTTATAGAGAATTGTAATTTTCAAATAAAAAGGTAATTTTCAGACCCTTAGCAATTTCCTGCGGGACGATTGCCTCAACGTGCGGTTATAGTCGTGGGAGGTGTTTGACCATACTTCACTACGCCGGTCTGCACAGGTTGGTGACATGGTATAGTGAGGGAAAAAAGGTATTTGATCACCCTGCTGATTTTGTACGTTTGCCCACTGACAAAGAAATGATCAGTCTATAATTTTAATGGTAGGTTCATTTGAACAGTGAGAGACAGAATAACAACAACAAAATCCAGAAAAACGCATGTCAAAAATGTTATAAATTGATTTTCATTTTAATGAGGAAATACGTGTTTGACCCCTCTGCAAAACATGACTTAGTACTTGGTGGCAAAACCCTTGTTGGCAATCAGAGGTCGGACGTTTCTTGTAGTTGACCACCAGGTTTGCACACATCTCAGGAGGGATTTTGTCCCACTCCTCTTTGCAAATTTTCTCCAAGTCTTCTTTGGTTCTTTCGGTAAAGTCACGTAGAATGAGAATAAAATAATAAATTGATAAAATAAAATAACACAATAAAATTCTCACGACGTTTCGGCCACAACACAAGCGGCCTTCATCAGGTGAAGGGACGAGACTGTCTGGAGGACAGCGCTGGAGCGAAAAAAGCCACGCTCAGATCGCGACCTTTAAACTGTGTGAGAAGAAACAAAGCGCCTTGACAAAGGAATTAGCATAGAATTTAGCATTGAAATAGTTGAGTGATTAGCTTGTGACTGGTCACAGAAATAGCTATGTTAAAGTTAAAGCATACACATCCGCAGAGGCACCCCTTGACAAAGGAATTAGCATAGAATTTAGCATTGAAATAGCTGAGTGATTAGCTTGTGACTTTAACATAGCTATTTCTGTGACCAGTCACAAGCTAATCACTCAACTATTTCAATGCTAAATTCTATGCTAATTCCTTTGTCAAGGCGCTTTGTTTCTTCTCACACAGTTTAAAGGTCGCGATCTGAGCGTGGCTTTTTCGCTCCAGCGCTGTCCTCCAGACAGTCTCGTCCCTTCACCTGATGAAGGCCGCTTGTGTTGTGGCCGAAACGTCGTGAGAATTTTGTTATTTTATTTTATCAATTTATTATTTTATTCTCATTCTACGTGACTTTACCGAAAGAACCAAAGAAGATGAATCCTTGCAGTCACGAAAGCTTTAAATCAAAACTTCTCCAAGGTTTCGAGGCTGACGTTTGGCAACTCGAACCTTCAGCTCCCTCCACAGATTTTCTATGGGATTAAGGTCTGGAGACTGGCTAGGCCACTCCAGGACCTTAATGTGCTTCTTCTTGAGCCACTCCTTTGTTGCCTTGGCCGTGTGTTTTGGGTCATTGTCATGCTGGAATACCCATCCACGACCCATTTTCAATGCCCTGGCTGAGGGAAGGAGGTTCTCACCCAAGATTTGACAGTACATGGCCCCGTCCATCGTCCCTTTGATGCGGTGAAGTTGTCCTGTCCCATTAGCAGAAAACACCCCCAAAGCATATTGTTTCCACCTCCATGTTTGACGGTGGGGATGGTGTTCTTGGGGTCATAGGCAGCATTCCTCCTCCTCCAAACACGGCGAGTTGAGTTGATGCCAAAGAGCTCCATTTTGGTCTCATCTGACCACAACACTTTCACCCGGTTGTCCTCTGATTCATTCAGATGTTCATTGGCAAACTTCAGACGGGCATGTATGTGTTTTCTTGAGCAGGGGGACCTTGCGGGCGCTGCAGGATTTCAGTCCTTCACGGCGTAGTGTGTTACCAATTGTTTTCTTGGTGACTATGGTCCCAGCTGCCTTGAGATCATTGACAAGATCCTCCCGTGTAGTTCTGGGCTGATTCCTCACCGTTCTCATGATCATTGCAACTCCACAAGGTGAGATCTTGCATGGAGCCCCAGGCCGTTGGAGATTGACAGTTCTTTTGTGTTTCTTCCATTTGCGAATAATTGCACCAACTGTTGTCACCTTCTCACCAAGCTGCTTGGCAATGGTCTTGTAGCCCATTCCAGCCTTGTGTAGGTCTACAATCTTGTCCCTGACATCCTTGGAGAGCTCTTTGGTCTTGGCCATGGTGGAGAGTTTGGAATCTGATTGATTGATTGCTTCTGGACAGGTGCCTTTTATACAGGTAACAAGCTGAGATTAGGAGCACTCCCTTTACGAGTGTGCTCCTAATCTCAGCTCGTTACCTGTATAAAAGACACCTGGGAGCCAGAAGTCTTTCTGATGGAGAGGGGGTCAAATACTTATTTCCCTCATTAAAATGCAAATCAATTTATAACATTTTTGACATGCGTTTTTCTGGATTGTTTTGTTGTTATTCTGTCTCACTGTTCAAATAAACCTACCATTAAAATTATAGACTGATCATTTCTTTGTCAGTGGGCAAACGTACAAAATCAGCAGGGGATCAAATACTTTTTTCCCTCACAGTATAAAGGACAGGATCAGGTCAGATATAATCGACCACTGATATTGGCCGTGGTGGGGAAACTAACTCAGGTCACCGGCTTCAGGAAAGTGCTCAGGCCCACGGTACCACTGCCCCCCACACACTACAGTCTTACCATTACCATGGATGTACAGGTTAAATGTCAAGGTAAGTAATGAAGCTGCTCATCAGTAATATGCATTAATATAAAAGGAAAAAACAAGAAATTGCTCAATGTTATTTCAGATAATAAACAATTACATTTGATAGCGTTCATCGTGGTGGTGTGATGGAGCAGCTGTTAGCGCAGTGTGCTATGAACCCGGCGACGTCCTAAGTTCGATTCCGAGCCACAACTTATCATATGAGTGGCGAGTGATATCTGAACCAATTCTGGGCCCCTTCCTTCACCAACCCACACTGGCCAGCGCCAGACCCCTACAACTCACACAGCATAGAGAGGTTGTCATACAACCGTAAAGTGATAAAGGTCTGTACATTTTTTGTATTACTATTTTAACTTGTCAACCCAATAAACAAAACGAGGTGATCGTTTTTATACATTAGATTTAAAGCAAAACTTGAGATATTAAGCGTGTTACTTGAGTGTTTTATTCTTTCTGCATATAAAAAATACATTGTTTTAATATTTAAACAATCAACCTTTATCTGCAGGACGCAAAACCCAATATTATCACCCGCACAAGGGCACACTCAACGTTTTAAACATGAGTGCACTCTTTATTAAATATGCAGCTGCTCCAGATTAAAACGGAAATATTCCGTGAACCGAGGTCAAAAACACTGATCTCGTGCATCGTCCGTGGAGCTGTCAGAACCGGATGCACAATTTGACTGCCATTCGATTTTAAAAGAGCAACAAATCACGTAGCGTCCACTGCACGCATGCAGAACACCGCAATGTAATCTTCGCGCATTTACTGTATGCAGCAAGGGACAAGGACGTTCGTTGTACCTAAACGGCCTAATTAAAATGACCGATCACGGTTTCCTCCGCTAACAAAAAGACTACGCAGCTATTCCTCGCACAGCGGTGTCCACAGCAGCGGTGTCCAGCTCTGCTTTTGGTATTACACAAAGGGTACACACGCGTTAACTTCTAAGCATTATGGTTCACTCATGGAAATGCATTCCGTAAAAAAAATACTCAGCACACGTTTTAATATTTTTTCGTTTTAAATGAAAAGAAAACTAGATGCATTTTGGAACTAAGCATGGAACATTTAACCGTATTGCATATCATTTAAATAGTGCTTGTTATATAGTACTTGTTTTTATAAGGAAATTCTACGGAGACTTAAGACTCTTTCACAGCTGCCCTGAAATAGGGATGCGTAGCCAACATATCTTTAACGAGCACTCATGAAATTTTAATGACACTGGTCTTTGGAGTTGACACACTTTTCATATTCGGGCCATACCATGTGCTATTAAGAAGGGCCACTGACTGAAACATCACATATTATACTACTTTTCCTTTCAAGGCAATGTTGTTAACGAATATGTTCAAGTTTTCACACTTGAGCATTTTCACAATTGTTTCACAACAACAATATGCACACACAGCGAGGTTTTACATGTTTGATTTGAAACGACCAAAAACCGTGAGACAACCAGGCCCACTCATTCACACATCCACATGCTATGCTGAGAACGCATCTCAGTCGCATTGCGATTCTCACGCAGGGCTATACATTTCAACCATTCACTGACAGATACCCTGGTGCACACATGCCATCCTCAAACTTACGTCTCGAGATCACATCAGTGAGCCAGTTAAAAACACACTGCATGTCCGACAAGACTTTTCACCATTTAACCGCAAAAGGGCTGTTGACGATTTGCAAAATAATTCACCTCTCCCCAGTTGTTTGGTTCATTGCTGAGCTAAAGTGGCAAAGTGAAATGGCTGATAAGTCAGAGGACTCTTCACACTCGCGAGGAAGAGTGACGGTGTCGTAAGGAGTGAATTGTCATTTTAAGCCACGAGCATATGTATGTTGATACATCATCATGGCACTGATGCAATCCGTAGCAAAAATAATTTAAATGGATATGCTGATGTGTTCTTCATTCTCACTACTGAAATACACAGCAATATTTTAAACATTTTAATAGTTCTATGTACTTCCAATCAAGTTTACTATTAATAATACTTTTCTTTTTAGTGCCTTTTGTACCACAAGGTTCAGGGACACTTCACACGTGTTAAGATAAAACAAACATTTACAGAGACAAACGTTGTCACAAAAAAATTAAACGCATCAAAAGGAAAAATGAACAAAACAGTAATATAATTACAAGATGCTAGAACAAAATAAGACGTCTACATTTGAGAAAAGAATCTTAAGCGTTGACTTAAAAAGGTGAAGCCTGATGCAAACAGGCAGAGAGTTCCACAGTCAAAGAGCCTGGACAAAAAAAACACCACCTGTGAACGTGATTTTTTATTGATAGGCCCTTTAGTTTTTATCATGAAAATCTACGCCTTGTTTTCTTTTAATAACTGCAATGCATTAAAATGTACATATAAAATACATATTTGCGGTGTTCGCTGAGAAAGGCAACAGTTAAAAAAACAATATCGTGAGATGTAAATGGTAATTGACAGCTAAAAAAGTAAGCAAAAGTCAAAACATTTTAAGGACAATTTAAGGTGCGGGCAAATTTGCGAAAATCACCGTACAATGAAGTTTGAATATGACAATGTTACAAAAAAAGTAGCAGCAACAAAGTCAATCACGTGCTGAAAACGGTGACATCCCCATCACATGCCGTGGATATTAATGGCCACTAAATTATCAACGACAGGGCATCCGAGCACCGTTTTGGACTGGTCTTGTAATTAGCCAGAGTGGCTGCTCAGGCGGTCTTAGCCTCCTAATAAATCGGTTTAAAAATCAACAGAAATCCTGTTCTGAAAATCCCAACCACTCGGCAACAGAACTTGTTTTGTCCAGCATCACAATCCTGCACTTGTTGCACTGCCCTTTCACAGTTGCGATGGAAGCGGCTCCTATTGCACACCCTTTGCCTGCGTATGGATGGTACCACACGGAGTGCCCATTGACGTGCTGACGGCAATTGTAGAACGTGTACTCGCAAAACTCTCAACTAGCCAGCTGGAAGGCAATTACTTTCTGCCGCTTATCAAAATGAAACCCACTGCATAAATAAAAATGGAAAACCTTTAAATTTGGATAGGTTTTGCATAAAGGATGTAAATTGAAATTGGGCAACCAAAGGAAACACCATTGTGAAGCCTGAATATAAACAGCAGAGCAGGTGATAACAGGATGCACAAGACTGCCAATGGCGTTTGATGTTAGGCAGGCAGACCCAATGCCACACAACACAGGCCGTGCGCGACCGTAAACTCGTGAATGCCAACGGCCCACTGGACATATTTACAGGTTACGCGTAAGAAGCGTGCAGCTCTTTTCACACAGCAACATGGGGGGGGAAAAAAAACAATGATTAAAATTAAGAGGACAGATGCCTCCTACCAACAGCACTCGGCAAAGGCTCAAGATTAAGGCCATCAAGTGAATTAACTTCAGTCTAATGCTCAAGCCTGTGACATGTTGCTATGGAGAGAAATCCTATAGTTGATATTTTATAATCTGCCACAGCCAGCAGAGCTGTCCAATCCTGAGCCAGGCCTCCGTTATATGTAGTACAATGCCGAGGCCACCACTATATGTGCTCTGATAGATTGTGTTCACAGTCAAATGTCGGTCTCACTCAGGAGGTCGCACTTACATATTGTACATGTATTTAAAACTACACCTGTATACAAAACAATATTCTGACCACAATAGTTGTGGTCAGAATGCAAACAAAAACACTGATAGCATATGCATTGTCTTTGAAACTGATTGGCTGTTTCAAAGACAATGCATATGCTGTAAACCTTTTGGCGTCTTCTGGTCTAACACCGTGTGAGACTAGGCTCTAAAGAAAACTGTCTCTGGTGTGGGCCAATCAGTTTCAAAGACACTGCATATATTATCAGAGTATGTTTTTGTTTGCGTTCTAACCACAAATATTGTGGTTAATGCACATATGATTCCTTGTAAGAGGTTTCAGTTGGTGTTTTAACATCTTAACACCTGTTTTGTTGCCAGAAAAAAGGGGAAAACCTATTCTATTATTATGACTGTTGATGCTATCTGCGATTTTGTTCATGGTGCAAAAGAAGTTCAACATACATACATATTCATTCAGAGTAAAAAAAAAGGCACATATGGAGAATTTTTTTTGTTACAAATATATAAAACTATTGACACTTACAAAAATGGGAACAGGTGAGAGAATATATGGATGAACTAAAATGTGAAATATCCAAATTATTCTTAATGTAAACAAGTTAATTTGTTTTGATTTAAAGCTTTTGTGACTGCAGTAATTCATATTCTTAGTTCTTTCGGTAAAGTCACGTTGAAGGTAAACAACAAAATAATAAAATATATATAATATTTATATATAAAACAATAAGTTAATTTGTGCACAGTAAATTTATATACCACCAAGGAGTGAAAAGGCAAAATCCTCTAAGGATGGAAATGCACGCACAGACCAGGGCATGGCCAACTGGAAAAAGCTAAAAATCCAGGCTAGTAGGGATATATGGATTTCAGCTTACAGAGGAGAAAACATGAAAGGCACCTATCCAATACTGATAATAAATTGAATATAATAATCCTCAGATGTAAAGCATGTATAAATAGGATGTTCTTGCATTATTTTTCAGTCAACTTTTATTTCAAATGTCAAAAACATGGAGAAAGCTATGACACCTCACGAGTATGTCTAGCAAAACACACGTTTCAAACGTGCCTCCCATCGCGCCTTCAGGCCCAAACGACCGTTGGGTGGTGCTCACCTCCGTTGGCAGGCTTGAGGAGCTACCAGATCTGGAAATTCCACATTACTATGCTTAGGGTCGTTCTCTTTCTCTGGAGCAAAACCACCGCTAACTTCAGACAACAAAAGTATTTGTTTTATTGGGCCCAGTTAGTCGATCGGCAGGTCGCGTGTGGTGCGGTGAGGTGTGGGTGCTGAAACCTATGCCACGACTTCTGGCCGTTATGGAAGAGTAGACCAAAATATCTTCTACAGGGACCCTCTAAAGTTCGTTCAAGTAGAGGCCTTTCTGCCAGCAGTGGCGTGAACAGGTTATTATGGGGCTGCACATTTTCCCTTTTAAATCTACGGAATGGATGACCTGGTTAAACTAATATAAACTGCATATATATACCAACACTTCAATATAGTCACACAATCTCACAAAGCACTCACCGTGAGGAAATGCATTCGGCTGAACGAGGTCCAGAAACTTGTGCACCATCAAGAAGAGCGTTCCGATGGCGCCGGCGTCATAATTTGTGTCGGTCACGTACGTGGCCATAGGAACTTGCCCAAAGTCCAGCGTAGTGGACGGCACGCTCGTCTGACCTCCCGCCAAGCTCGCCAGGAGGACGAGCGCGAGCAGGAAAAACACCGCTGGGAATGCCATCATGCCACCGGCCATCATCGCTATGGGAAGGCTGCAAACGCTAATGCACAAGGGAGTGGTGCGCCACCATCGTCTTCCGCGCGAAAGCTTCTCACACTGTGCCAGCGAACACGGTCCCAACAACGCTCACGTCCAGATTCTCGTTCTCATCGTATGATCAGGTGAATGGTGCTCATATGTTCACATGGCCGTGGCACCTCCCGTAGTCCTGTGGGGTATCTGTGACATCTGGAAAGACAATAACATAAATTAAGAGGGTATTTTAAACACAATGAGACTTTTACAGGAACGCACACACAAAAAAAGCCGGCTGCTATATACAGCCATATACCAGTTCACCGAATAAATAATCTGCAGCTGCACTTAAGACGAAATCACACCGGGTTATTTGAAAGGTTCACACAGTCACTGCTTGGTCGCACAAATTTTTCCAATCAAATCGGCCACACGGATATTTTAAAGGTTTGCCGATGTTTTAAAATCGTAATATGTTTCGCTTGTTTGAATTGCCATTTGGCTCGCTGCAGGCGCAATTGAAACAAATATTTTCTATCACAGCGAAAATGTTATTGGCCACTCAAAAGAACGCCCTTTATATACAGTAAAAATACGAGTAAAACACGATTTATGGTTAATTATATTGGAACGAAAGACTACACATCTATATTTGCCTAGATTTGATTTTAATAAGGTATTTGGCTGCATTTTATTTTCAGTTAAAACGTAACGGTAACATTTAAAGGGCAAAAAGTACATCTGAGATTTGCAACGAAAAATAATCAGATGCTCCGACACGTTTTGTCAGTATTTACAAGAACATCTGCAATTACTTTACCCCATTAGCTGGGGCCATGCGGCAAAGGAGATGTTGCATCTTAGCGGTGTAGCCCCGGATAAAGGATAAGAAATTTAAAAAAATAATTGCTCGTATTGCCTTATAATTACGATTTGAAGAGTGTTTGAGATGATGTACGACACCAACACGTCCAAATCCTGCGTTAAACGTTTCTTTTTTTTATCGTAAACAATAACCACCGGCTTACAAAAATGGTAAAGCCAACACCACGCACGAGTAAAAAAACGCATGACCATGCACAAACTTTTCCCCTGATTACTTCAAATGACAGCACACAACTGCGATGAATACAAATGCAGCTGAATGTACAATCGCGTGCCTTTCAAACATTTGCCACTGGCTCGTCTAACAAAATTTGCTTTGGTACGTTATATTATGCCCGTTCACGCTGCTATTATGAGGGACCCTGAGCTCTGGCTTAGCACCTCGCGAGTTGTCGATCGAACTTTGCGTCCAATTTGTGATGCAAGTGCACGTCTGAATTTGCATTGATTATTCTTATCATTATTATATCATGCGGGTTGCTAGTTATAATAATAAAATATTCATTTATATTCAAACTTAACTACTTTCTTGCATCAGCAGTAGTCACAACACTGTCATGGCTTGTCGTTTGTTACAGGTGAAAGTAAAATGTTTCGTCTCATCGCCTTACAGACCATGTACGTTTAGTCAAAGGCCACTGTCAGACAATGTCACAGCCAATACTGAAACGCTGCCTATTCATCGACGCAATATAACCTGCATAACACCTAAAGATACACCTACAATGTGATGAAAAAAATGTAATGAAATGGGATTTTTTTACCACTGAAAAATGTATGTTTAAGATCCTGATGCCATGAAAAATTATCTATAACATAACACAAAGCAACACACGTTTGGCTCTGTTTAAATGTGAAAGCGATGAAATTTATTTGCTGTCCGTGGAATATTCTTCGTGATTACCTATTCGTTGGTTAGGCATAGGTAATACTGAAAGAAAATGACATACTGTAAGGGTTAAAGCACTAGCAAAGGCCCCCATGGGGAGATATTTTAAGGAATATTTAATTGAAGAATTTGTCAAATTCTCATCAGCATGCCTAATCCACAAATACTCCAAGTACCCTCAAGATAGCAGTAGGCTGGGCTGGCAATTCCCCCCCCGCCTCCTTAAATCAAATTATTTTCTATGCAGTGAGTCATTTATTAAAGTCAACATTTCAGCCAATAATCCTTCATCAAAATCTGTCAAGTTGAGCGATTACTTTTCCTCCTTAGTTGTGTTTATGCTCTAATAACAACACCCTGTGAAGCTTGAGCAGTGCGGGCTGCCTTCCGCCGAGACGCATATTATTATTATAATACCAGGCACTATCCCTGTCCCCCAGGTGCCTAGAGGACAGGCCAGGGTCGAGCTGCAGGGTACATTGCCAGGCTCCAGAGAGCTGAATATATAGATCCAGCAGGCACTCCAGATGCTTCTAGAACGTCCTAAGAGGAAGGAATAGAAAGGCCAGAGGCCAGCCATTGTCGTGCCACCAAGGCAAAGTGGGCATGGAAAGAAGCCAGTTCATCTCCCTCCTCTTCTTCCTCATCATCAACCTCCTCCCGTTCCTCAGTGGAGAACTCGACAAAAGAGGGGGAGTGCTTTTCTCCCTCATCTGAGTTGGATGAAACGTTCCCTAGGGAATTCCCCCAGAGAGACCGCAGAAAACTAAGGAGGAGAGTTATGTCAACCCTGCAGTTGGAGTTTAAGAAGCGGAATCAATTACCAATTAGCTCAACGGCTGCTCACCATATCGCCCTTAAAAAATATCTTTGAGATGGCAACACTAATCCCCAACAGGATGTTGCAAACATTTCAGGCCCGCAGTGCAATATTCCTAGAACTGCACCTGATAACATCACTGCCTCATATACAACGCCACGACGGCAGTGCGCACAGCTTCACATTTACTGCCCGGAGTGCACAAGTGGCAACGCGCTGAGAGTTTGTCTTGAGCTCGTTATTGTAATTGGACTGGGCGGAAAGTCGAAATTATTCAATTATGCCAACGCGGGGGGACGGGGGGAGGGCTGTGGAAATAGCTGAGACATAAAAGATTTGTTTTCAACAATGGCCTCCGCCATCATGAACGGCAGGCCCTTGGGTGCAGATTGGGGCGAGAGATAATTGACTGTGTGGGATATTTTACTGACCAGGGTTTTTTCCAACATTTAATCATATCTAATAGTTGTCAAAATGCATCGTGTTCAAACATATTGAACAAAAATGGAGACTTACACTTCGAAAGGGATGGTGCAATCCAAATAAATGCCCCGTTTTTTTCATAAATTCCATCCAACAAAATGCAAATGAAAATACAGCAATCGAGCTCAATAAAACAGCAATTAAAAAGGTGTCACTTGTTGGAAAGACAGAATGCTTGTATAGGCTGTCCCTGATTAAACAAAGGTCACTAATTGACTACACAGGCGGCGTGCAGTGGTATTAAACTGTGCATTTGTTGAATGAAAAATAGAGGAACAAATGACAACGCGAACATTCGTGTGGGATTTGGGCACTGACACCAGTAAACAAATGTGATATTCATGGGAACCTTACCGACGTTAATATGCATGGGTTCTGGATAATTTGGACAAAAAAAGATTGTCCACACAGTGTAAGCATATGTGCACCTATAGACACTACTAAAAGTACCTACTCTTTGCCATTGTATAAGATACGCTACATATGAGCAGTGCACTTGCAAGCTATGTAGTAAGCAACTTTAGTTTTTATGCAAGCATCTACTTTTTATCAGCCACAACATTAAAAAGAGCCAACTACACAAGGACAAAGATCCCCCACGTAGCCTATACAGACTGTTGGGGGAAAGTGCTGTCAGCGAGCTGGTACGACACACGAGGGTGGTGCGGACAGCACCACGCTCGGCCGCCTTCGTCTCCCCAGTGGTGAAGTTTGCACTCTACACCATGTACTCATTCGACCTGCTCGCCACTGATGTTGGCCGTGAGTGGAAATTGAACTCGGGTCAATGGGTTCGTAACAACGCGAACCCACAGTCGGACTCCCACTCGAGATGAAACACGCAATTATCTACCACCAAGGTGATACTCCCACACACTGTACGCTCCACTGGGGGGAAGAGAGGGGTATTCATCTCCCCAATGAGCACTGTGTGTGTGGACGCGGTACCAGGCACAGACACAATGCATCTTACCTTGCATTTTCCATATAGCAACGCGGCTAACGATTGTGCACCTTTATACAACATATACACAAGCATCTTCCCAATCAGACTGATAACTTCAGGTTTGATCTTTATGGGCAGTTTCTCAAGGCATTGTTTCTCTGTGCGTTGCATATTATTCCTGGGTATTTTGTGCCACCAGACACTCGACCCCCTCAGCTCACCATTGGTTATGGAGTGGAGAATTTCCCATACCTGGGCAGTGTGCTTATGTCCAGCTCCGGTTCGAAAGCAGAGATCTCACTACGAATCAATCGGGCGGCATTATCTTTTCATCGGCTGCGCAATGTTGTCTGGAAGCTACCTGGTCTGTCGCTCCCCACGAAGCTTCGGGTCTTCTCGGCCAGTAATGTACTCCCTTCTCTATGCTTGTGAAACGTGGACGCCTCTAATTTAACATCTGCGTCGGTTAGAAACATTCAGGCTGGCATGCCTACGATCCATCCTGGGTTTAACCAGGCTGGATTGTGTGAGGAGCTCACAAATCCTTGAAAGATCTGGACACATTCCCATCAGTGAGCTACTCTGGCAGGCAAGGCTGCATTGGCTGGGTCATTAAGCCCGCATGCCTAGCCACCGCATGCCCAAATAGCTTCTGTTTGGCTGCATAGAAGGGGCTAAACGGGCACGACTTGGGCTGGAGAACAGATGGACTGATGCGGTACAGGAGGATGCGGAGCGGAGTGGAGGAGGCTCGTGAAGGATGCTACTGGGAAGTTGGAGGCAGTCGCCCTCCAGCAACAACGGTCTAATGATGTAGATGCTCACCCCGAACCCTCATTACTTTGATAGTGCATTGTCTTTGAGCTGTACGCCTTTTGGCGTCCTCTGGTCGAGCACCAATTAGGTCTAAGCTCAAAAGAAAACCGTCCCTTGGTGTGGGCCAATCAGTTTCAAGGACAATGCATACATTATCATAGTGTTTTTTGTTTGCATATGACTGCAAGTATTGTGGTTAATGCAGACATGAATCCTTGTAAAAAGGTTTCAGTTTTGTTGCCAGAAAAAAGGGGGAAAACCCTATTATTACATTTTGGTACTGGCAAAGGAGGTCTAATGATGAAGTTGGAGGCAGTCGCCCTCCAGCAACAACGAAGGGCAGGGAAGCAATGCTCGCAACAACAAGTGGAGTG